AAGATCCGCGTTAAAATTGGTCTTCAGCAATCCACGCTTGTCCAAGAGTTAAGACCCGAGTTACAATTGGTCTTCAGCAACCCATGCTTGTCCAAGAGTTAAGACCCGAGTTACAATTGGTCTTCAGCAACCCATGCTTGCTCACAGTTAAGATCCGAGTTAGAATTGATCTTCAGCAACCTATGCTTGTCCACAGTTAAGATCCGAGTTAGAATTGTTCTTCAGCAACCCATGCTTGGCCCTCGTTAAAATCAGGACTGGAATTTGCATTCAGGCTATGCTTGTCGTGAGAGGTAACTGACGGGTCCGGGTGGTCAGACTCGCTGACTTGATAGATGCATGTCCTCGTATCCAAATTGCGTTTATCGATGCTCACAATGTCAGTCACTGAATTCTCTTTACAGACGGCAGTCATATAAGAATTGAACCCTGCTGAGTGCTGCGCTAAACAACAAACAAACGAACAAATGAACAAACAAAACATGCCATGTCGACAAACGCTGGCACACAGCGAGCAGTTATCTTATTCATCTGTAAATGTTCATGAATGATAGTTTCAATGGATCCATGGCTTAGACCTGTGTCTTCCTCAAGTTCAGCACTGGTAATACGTCTATCTGACAGTTTAAGTTTTTTCTGTCTCCTTGATGGAATCTTCATGGACGGAACGTCCAGACCTTGGGTCATCATCAAGGATTGTTCTCCAAGCTTTAAACATATGTAAAGTATGAGAGTTACAATCACCTGAGAGATCGCTTTGTGTCTGTGTCTGTGTGTGTGTGTGTCTGTGTGTGTGTGTGTGTGTGTGTGTGTGTGTGTGTGTGTGTGTGTGTGTGTGTGTGTGTGTGTGTGTTCTCTTGATAATTATATTATTGCCTGCAAACTTTATATAGCTGGAGGAGGGTCGGTATGCTATGTGTCACTCTGCTTAAACAAACAGGAAAATGGGTGCCCTTCCTGGGTTTCTATTACCTCCAATTCAGGACATTACACTGTTAATACAAGCTGATATATTAGCGTCTGTACAACCTTGACCACGATAAGGGACCGTTCATAATGTATGGCTTGGGGGGTGGGGATTCCCTAGAAAACAATCGTACACTTTAAAATCCCCCCCCCCCCCCCCTCCTCTCTAAGTATTGCGTACATTTTAAGTGCCCCCCCCCCCCCCCCCCCCCGACAACTCATGTACAAAATCAGTCAATCACCCACCCCTACCCAAACAACTCCCTTACTTTCCTTCCTCGCGCGAACATCATAGAGATCCCTTCTTTTTAACAGCTCTTCTAGGTGGACTTATGAAATATTACTCTTCAGCATCAGAGTCACAAAGACAGGCAAGGCTATTTCTACACAAAATAAATTTAATTGTTTTGTTTTTTTAATTTGCACTGTGAATCAGGGGAGCTCTACATGGAGCTTGTTAAGACATCGTGTAAGCCAATGTATATACGTAAATTATAGGAAGAGGGGAATGCCCTCACAAATGAGGATGATGTTTGGCAATTTTCAGAGAGGTACATCGTACCCAGTACAGTTGTACTGATTTATGATGACCAACTCCGCACACCATCTTGACGAGAGGAAGCAGATGAGGATGAGACACCGCAGTCAAACACGAGCGATGCAGAAGAACAAATTCTATCAGGATTATCAGTGGGGTGATCTACTGCTTTCAGGAAAATTAGAAAAAGTTTCAGTTTCAGACTTGGACAAATGATTATAGGCTTTCACAATATAACAAACGCCAAAACGCTGAAGAAGAAAAGGGTAAACATACTTAAAAAGCATTTGACATATAAAAACAGCATCAGCGCAAGAGGGAGATTACTAGAAACAGAACCATCTGACTTTGATGATGTTGTCAGTTTTGACGATGAGGTTGTTGATGTAACAACCATCTATGGCACTGATTATATGAATTATATGAACGGTCCTAAACAATCTAATAGTGAAGACATTATTTATTAGCAGAAACTATATTATCTATCACTATCCCATACTGCCGCAAGAGGCGACGAACTGGATCGTGCGGTCAGGCTCACTGACCTGGTTGATGCATGTCATCGTGTACATATATCCCAGTTGCGTGGATTGATGCTCACACACACACACACACACACACACACACACACACACACACACACTCTCTCTCACACACACTCTCTCTCTCTCTCACATATACACACACACACACTCACACATACACACCCTCTCTCACACACACACACTCTCTCACACACACACACTCTCTCTCTCTCACACACTCTCTCTCACACACTCTCACACACACACACACTCTCTCTCTCTCACACACTCTCTCTCTCTCACACACACACACACACACATATACACACCTCTGCGTGAGACCATTCACATGTGAACCATGAGTGAGTAAAAACAGTACATTCAAGTGGTGATCGAGAAAATATTCTGCTTCTAACAAGAAACAATACACCAGTTACCCCATACATTTTTTAAAGTGAGAGAGTTAATTATATTATACATATCATGACTAGCACAAATAGCACAAGTGACCCGTGAAGATCCGGGGTAGAATTGGTCTTCAGCAACCCATGCTTGTACCCCTGAAGTTCAAGTCCCAATAAACATGATGAAAGACCTGCGAAGATCCGGGTTAAAAAACGAACATACTACATATTAAATCCATTCCGTTGGCGCACTTATAAAATACTGAATTCAATCGACCACGGACGTACATAGATATCTATATACGTCTTTGAATCGCTCGAGCGCAGAAAACACTCCACTATTTACATGATTATAGTGATGATGTGTGTATTGGCTTGTCTGGTCCAGGCTCGATCTTACAGAGCCAGTGTGGAATAACGAACATTCACTCACTGATGAACTACTATAGACTCTATATGGCATCCATAACAATTGATTCAGAACCCCGGATATGAAAAAGAAATTGGATTGGTTTCAGTCTGCACGTGAGTCAACGACTTCAAATAAGTAACCACGCCCGTTCATGCCAGGGCTTGTCATGTGTTTGCAGCTGCAAAATTCAATATCCCGAGGGTTGTTTATTAATGCAGATGATCACGTGAGAAAACTCATGAGAGTCACATGATGCTTCAGATCATGAGCCCCAAACAGTTGTTAGTAATGAAACAACAGCCGGAAGTGTGAAATGTGTTACACGGAGTACAACTGATTATTGTCAATGTAATTGCGCAGCAGCCGACGTCTCCTGCTTGTCTCAAGCTGATAAGCGGGCTTTGACTACACGCCATGGTGAATAAACGGCAATACTATCTTAATAGATAAAAACAAAAGCATGAACGATATAAACCTAGTTCTGAATGTGAAACATTTATTTTTGTTATTCTGCAAAATAGCTGGATTAAGACAATTTACTTTACCTTTGGGATTTTAGCATCGTCGTCTCTTTATCACTCATCTTAAAGTGTAACCTCATCTTGCTGCAGTATAACAAAAAGTCATATTAACATTTATAGATGTGTATTTATTTCCACACTGAATAAAACTAAATCATTAGAAGCACGTGTTTTTATCAAACTTTTGTTTAATGGACGGAGACTGCACCAAGGAATATTGAGAGGCAAGTGTCAAATATCCAACTGACCTCACTGTGGTATTCTGGATACTCCTCCACATAAATGTTCCCACTATCGGTGGAGGGCAAAACCTATTATCTGCCAGCTAAAATGTAAAGTCGAGTCAAGTCAAGCATTAACTTTGCCTCTTGATCAATAATAAACTCAACACCTGCTCCACACATAGAACCCGCCACGATGTAAAGGCTGGGGAAATTATGGCACGACGGAGAGCACGATGTGCTGGTGGTGGGTTCGATTCCCAAAATTCTGGCTGTGATGCATGGTCTGACAGCACCGTTAACACACACACACACACACACACACACACACACACACACACACACACACACACACACACACACACACGCACACACACACACACACACGCAATAATATCCGAGTCGAGTTACATCCAACACACTATCAACTCACCAAACAACAATGCAACACCGCGGAAAGTACAAGCTAAACTCGCTTACCGTGTGTCTCCGTGGAGATTCGGAAAATGCACTATCCTATATATCTCTACACTTACGATAGTGCATTTCTAACACTCATGATATTAATAGATCTGGAAATATTTAAACAAGGACGCAAGTGCCAGCGTGTGTTGGTCGTAAGAGTCGACCAAATGGTTTGGGGGGCTTAATAGTAGGCTAGCACAAGTCTATAAGGCAATAATTGTTAGTTTAAATCATAATTCTTAGTTTAAATAATGTCCCTACAAGAGACTGGTGTCCTTAGATGGACTTGTGTCTTAGAAGGATTTACGATTATAGAATTACTATGCACCCATGGACTTACCATTCAGTACAGCCTTGGAGCAAGGCTAGCTTAATAGGTGATTGCGTGTTTTGGGGTGTACCACCGACTGCGTGGCTCGTTGCTCACAATATCAATCAACAGATTGTCTGGCCAAGGCTCGATAAATTCAGCCCGACTCATATAGATGGAATAGAGAATGGCGTTGAACAACAAACAAAAGACTCGATAACCTTGTGTGGTATATGGTTCACAGGATACCTTCTCATAGAATGAAGGAGGGGGAAATGAAGCCAGAAAGAAAGTTAATGTCTCGCTTTTCGATTGCTTTTCAGTCTGAAACATATATTTAACTTCCTTGGTTGATAACAATTGACACTGACAACAGCAGTAGAACGCAAATACAAGGAAGCAAGGCTGTGAGAATTCAATAATAATCTTAATAATGTCTTTAGCAAACCTGGCTTATTATAATATCTAATCTCTTCTGTCACGATGTAAATGTATGACATACCTCACGATATTACAACTGGAAATGTATATGTTTGAATGTGGTTGGGGAATGTCATACGATTCGCCTGACTGTCCGCATGGGCGTCACATGTCATGATAGATAGTTGTGTGTCTGATAGTATATATACGTCGATTGCGTTCTAAAATACTTGTTCCGGGGCTCACACATAAAGCTCACTGACTGCTTGTAGCTTCCCTCAGTATCTTGTCTTGTGGAGCGAAGTGCGAAGCAAAACTGTGATGAAGACTTTTATCGTCTGCTTGGCCTTATTGGCCACTTGCTATGGACTTGTCAGGTAACACAACTTATCATTTCACGCCGTAGTAAGTGAAGAGTAATCAGAATATGTTGGCCTACTGTCTACGGACATTTGTTATTTTTCTGCCGGTCAAGGATTTGTCCAGGTGCCGCAATAATTGTTGTGCAAACGGTGAAGAAACAAATATCATCAAAATTCATATTTTGAGGCCAACTCAAAGCAAGTAAGCATTGATAAGACTTCCGTCCGAATGGGGGAAGTCTTTCCCATCAATGTAGCTGCAGAGTTGCTTCCCTTTGACATGACGGGATCCAACTATCATACGTACAAGTTATTTGCCTTGATCTGTCAAAAGCAAACATGAGCTCGTGGGTTTATATTTTGGCTCTCTGACGTAATGACCAGACAATGTCAATGAATCAATATCCAAAGGCCCCATGAAGATCCGTGCTTATAGTAGCTCTTCAGCAACCCATGCTTGCCTTTTTAAACGGCGAGTGTGCTTGTCGTAAGAGGCGACTAATGGGATCAGGTGGTCAGGCTCGCCGAGTGCTGTGTTGAACAACAACACACAAACAATATCCAAAGCTGTTTGAACCCAACCAAGCTCCTCATTCTCATTGAACCACCTCCCTAGTCTAGTGGTGGGTCAGGGGTTCGATCCCCGGCCGTGTCATACCAAAAGACATTAAAAGATAGTACTTGTTGTTGGCGCTCAGCATCCGGGGGCTGAAGAAAGAAATGGTTCACTAGTACAAGCACACACACGCACACACACATGCATGTCGCTATATAAGTGCAATAACGCAATGTTAAACCCGTCCCCATTTCATTTCACTTCACCTTCATGCTCATTCACTATCTCTCAAAGTCTTCTGTTCAAATACAAAGAATACCCAATGGGAATTCCAGGACAGAAAAGGCCCCTAGCATCCATGCTTGTCAAGAGAGATGACTAAACTAAGGATCTGGTAGTTAAAATGTGTGACGTAGTGGTTTATATTGCCATGACTTGACGGAGCTGTCACCCATAGCTTGTCCCAAGCTTAAATGTTTACCATGTTTACTGGCTGGCTGATTTGTTTGTTTGTTGTTTGTGTAACGGAGGTCTGTAAATAGTCTGGACTAGACAACCCATGCTTGACATAAGAGGCAACTAGTGGGATCAGGTGGTCTGACTCACTGATTTGGTTAAGGCATATCATCGTATCCCAATTGCGTGGATTGATGCTCATGATGTCAATCTCTGGATTGTCTGGACCAGACTCTGTCATTCAGCTGGAATATTGTTGGGTGTGGACATGGTGGAGTTAAACAACAAACAAACACCTCACTCGTCCAAATTGGGATCTATTTGCCTGTTTATAATTGTCTTGACTTGTTTCTATGCATGAACAATGGTTATGTTTGAGAGAAATTCATATCTGAAAGGACTACAGTACTTACCCCACACTTTGTATGAGCTATATAAGTAAATATATATGAAGTTTAGGTTGGGGGAATGTATGATAGTCTTTCCGTGTAAACATGGTAAAAGCAACAGCCAAAAATAGGATAAAATATGATAATGATGAGAATATATTTCTAAATTGTATAGGCTCTGGGGTAGCCTTGTGGTTAAAGTTTTTACTTGTTCGCACCGAAACCTGAGTTCAATTCCCCACATGTGTACAAGTGAAGCCCATTTCTGGTATTCCCTGCTGTGGTGTTGCTGGAATATTACTAAAAGCGGCGTAAAATCCAACTCACTGACTATGTAGTTAGTATTTTTCTGAAGATTTGTTTTGTTTATGGTTGCAAGGCATGCTTACTTTAATGCAAAACACTACCGTCTTCAATGACTGGGGCGTCGTCATTATGATCTAGATCTAAATTGCAGGGCATACATGTGATGGTACGTATTTGTGATGTGCATCATGTTTAGCACAATACTGAATTATTTTTTTCTTTCCATCAGCACTTACAGTATGAGTTACAGCTGAGGTATACATGTTTATAAAGCCAGCATGAATTATACCCAGGAGGGATTGGATGCACTTCATTTTGAAAGTTTTTTTGTGGTCAGGCATACAAACTTTTCTTTAAAGGTATTGATTGTATAACAATCACCCTTTCATAACCATAGTGGGACACACCATTGCACAATTCTCACTTTAACACTGTGTAACATGTTTAAGGTAAGTTTTCAAATGGTGCACATGCACATTATAAGACATAATCATATTAATCATGTTAATATACCAGCTTTCCCATCTGTGGGGCAGTCTTGACCTATTCAATACTGAGTCCTATCAATGAACACTATGTTCCAGTGATTCTAGAGTGCCTCTTTTAACCTATTTGCTTAAAGTTAAACCTTCTCAATTAAACACAGTCAAATAAAATGTTCCTCGCACATATAGGCATATTTATTGAAAGACAGAAATGAGTTGTACGCGAAAAGGTACAAATTGGTAGGAAATATCCAGTAGGCAGAACATCCTGGCATTCAAATTGACACACATTTGCAAAATATTGCAGCTTTCGAAATTGGCACTAGTCCTGTAGTCCTTGCCAAACTGCCCAATAGTAGAGGTATCATAAGGACTAGTAGAAATTTGCCCTTTATAAGGGTTTTGCAACTAACTTGTTATCATCATAAGGACTAGAAGACTAAAAATGTTAGTTTCTACCGCTGTATTGCATATTTAATTTAAAATTGCAGCTTTTGTACAGTGCCCACACTGTTTTTATTAACATTTGATTGTATACAATACTTCTAGAAGGACATATTAAACAGTGTGCACTGGATTGCCAACTATCGCAATCACGCTGACTGTTTGATGATGACCCCACTGGGCTAAGAATGAAATTGTTTATGAAAGCATTAAGCTTGATATTTCTTTATCTGCTGGTTCTGGGGCCCCTTGTGATTCAAATATATAATATATTTTAAAGGTAGCCTCTATGCATGATCTATTTATTTTAAATATATCTGTGCTGGCAGTGCACTTTTATTTCAATGTTTTGATGCAGTATCTTTGATGTGATGATCATGTCACTAGGGCTTCAACGAGTACTCGGGGCCGGGTCGGTTTTACTGGGACTCGAGTCCGTTATCAAGGACTCGAGTACTCGATAAGGGGAGATCACTCTGTTTCAATGTTCAATTGTTCATCAATATATTGATTAAAGCTCCAAAAAATATTGTTTGAATAATGTATTCTTTGTAGAAAGTAGATGTACATTAGAACAATTGAGAATGTCACATAAAATAGACATATTTATTGTTTTTCCTTCCCGACTTTAAGAAATTGAATGTATCAAGGCGATTATTGCTTCTTTGCTCCGACATCAAATGCCAAGTGTATTCCCTTACACAGATTAACAACTGATTAGCTGATATATATGTGTTATTTCAGTGCTTACAAATCAAGCGACAGGTCGACAGTTTGGTACAGTTTGAAAACGTGACCAACTCATGAATGAATGAACTTATAGTACTACATTTCAATATAGCGGCCTTAGTCTTGCAGCCCAGCAGCTGTATGTCACGTGATGCACATTATCGATTTTCTTCCTGCGAATTATTGTTCGTGCTTGTTGGCAGGTGTCGAATGAAACGCTGATCGTCAGAAAAAAACAACTTGTTTTGTGTTCAGTATGTATTGTAGTTTTTGTAGACGTGGCGTAATGTTTTTGAAGGTCGTGATTAAGATTAGTGCAGTTACAAGCAAACATTAACACTGAACACTTCCATACACTTTGACAGATAAACAAGTTCCGTGGACGCTCTCTATTTCAGTGTAGTTCAATTATACCTATAACATGTTTTAATACTTTTAGATGGCAATTTTGATCTAATGAACCAATATTCTTAAAGGACGTCCTATTTTCGGGTACTCGAGTACGAGTCGAGTTTCACCCCTCGGGTACTCAGGTCCAAAAATTTGGACTCGTGGAAGCCCTACATGTCACAAGTCCTATTTGTATATGTAGTTTCCAATATCAAATGGAATAGTGATGAAATGTGCTTTTCAAGAATGCATAAATGCATTTGAAGCTTTTGAGGAGTCCGGGTCAGAATAGGTCCCAGTACCCCATACTTGTTGTAAATTGGTAAATACAGATTAAAGTTTGTTGCTGACTATCCATGATCATGATGATAATGAGGATCAGTCATTGTGTCCCCCGATTGAGTGGAACTTGCTGCCCTCAGCCACTGGTTTGCCTTGTGATTAACCCTTTACATGCTGCCAACATTCAGGTGGAATATCTGCAGCTTACATGGCATTCGCTCACTTATCTTTGAAGCCTTTTTGGTCAGCATGGTTTGGAGTTTTTGACCATTTCAGTACATGGGCATGTATGGTAAATAACTTAGGACATTGTAGATGGGCATGTATGGTAAATAACTTAGGACATTGTAGATGGGCGTGTATGGTAAATAACTTAGGACAATGTGGATGAGCTTGTATTTTGAATAACTTAGGACATTGTTGATGGGCATGTGTGATTAAAAATTTAGCATAATGTGGGTGAGCTTGTATGGTAAATAACACAGATCAATGTGAATGGGCATGTGTGATAAATAACTTAGGACATTGTGGATGGGCATGTGTGATAAATAACTTAGAACAATGTGGATGGGCATGTGTGTTAGGACATTGTGGATGGACATGTGTGATAAATAACTCAGAATATTCTGGATGTGTCGGTTACTTATGTCACTGTAATGTGAACCTTCCTTTGCAGAATTCCACTGACCAAGTTCAAGACTGCCCGTCAAACTTTGAAGGAACATGGCATGTCTATCGAGAGTCTCTCAAGGAAGTACAACGTCGGCAAGTTGACAGGACCGGACCCTGAGCCTCTCAGCAACTACCTTGATGTGAGTCACTGTTTGTCGGGGTAACTTGGCCCATCACACACGATGGTTAATAAGCCATGTGAGCTACTGCTACAGACACTGCCTGAACTCTCCATTCCAATCCAATTTTAAAACTAATCTTGTGACATTACATGTTTTCAACAGATCTTGAGGAGTTCCTGTATATGGTGTGACCTACCTGTGTGCTCTCACACGGGGTACAACACACTGTATGCCCAGCGGGGTCGGTTGACAATGAATTTATCTTACCAACATTCATTTAAACCAATATTAAACAGATCTGGAACATATGTCCACAGTTTCACGGCGTTAGCAAAACTCATAGATGCAAACGAACCGAGTTACTACCGTTAGCCCAATGCACTCGGATAAACATCAGTTCATTACAAGTCATGTCCCTTCTAGATCCATCCTATTGACCAATCAGATTCCACCTCTCTTATCATTTGCATTTGTTTCAATCAAAAAGGTACGCTCAGTGAAGATGATTTGATCGATAATCAAAATTGTTGTGGTTACATAAAGGGTCTTATTTTGCAAAGTGCATCCAATCACGTGAGCTCCTTGATTAAAAAGATGGAAAGATTTGGAAAATATCTTTTGATGCCGAGATGGATTTACTTATGCTTTGCAAATCCTGCGATCGACCAAAATCTGCATGACAGTTTAAGAACCAGATGTCGATTTCATTATGCAATCTTAATTGGTCTATGCATAGACTCATTCTTCTAGCCAATATATAATTCCATAGTTGCAGCCTTGTTCGGCAAGGGTGGAAACTGGACTTTAATAGTCTGTTAACACATTTGCCTTGGGAAGATGCATTTAGAAGTTATTTCAGTATGTACATCAGTGGCCACACAAGTTTGCTGATCTTGCAGTGTTGCAAGTACATGTCCTTGGTTCATATCAGAACACTCAAACATAGATATGATAAGATTGGATCAAGTGTTTCTTGTGATAACTGAAACGCAATCTGGCAGTTGCTTTATCTCCAGTACTCTTTCTAGACTAAGGGTGAAATGATACACTGATGTACCATGATATGTGGCCTTCAATACTATACATACGATACATACACACTTTATTTACTTATTTTTTACCCATGAAGATCTGGGGTAGAATAGCTCTTCAGCAACCAATTCTTGCCCTAAAAGGCAACAATGCTTGTCGAAAGAGGCGACTTACGGGATCGTTAGGTGAGGCTCACTGACTTGGTTGTATAGTGTCCCAATTGTGCGGATCGATGATCATAATATCGGTCACTGGATTGTCTGGTCCAGACTCGATTATTTACAGACCGCCGTCATATAGCTTGAATATTGCTGAGTGCGGCGTTAAACAACAAACAAACAAACTTATTTGCAGTGATTTGTTACTTATTAACGAAAGAATAACTATCTCATTGGGAGAAACATGTTAAATATGAGTTGAAGTAGGGGTGAAGTGATGCACCAGTGCGTCATGAGTTTCACACGACAATATGACACTGATACATCGCATGAGTATCGCAATACGTATCATATCGAGACCTTCCTGTATCATTCACCCCCAATTGGAAGGAAAACTGCCCATGTCCTACAAATCAGGTGTTTGTGATCATGTTGACTTCCCTGTTAATTTTTGTGACAATAATAACCCCAGTTAACAAGGAAAAAAGTAGCTTCTCATTTTGCCACTTACCTGAACTATCCTAGTATTTCAGTTCATGGCCTTTGTTTTTGTTCCTGGTGTAATGAGATACATTTCATGCTGTAGCTGTTCCCATGGATTTATCTAGACCTGCTCAGAGGCTGATATTCGACCCCAAGTCTGCAGCAAATATCATTATAAATTCCCAAATTTTAATTATGAATTTCCAAATTCATGTAATTACTAATAACTAATTTTATGGCTTTGGACAGGGAGCCTGTATTTCACCCGTCGCAGGATAAATAAAGAGTGAAAGGTTTAATTCTTACTTTTATGATATGGCATGGAATGCAATCTTTTAATACTATGTTAAAAAACTCTGTTTTACAGACTGTGATCAGGATTTTTTCCAAATTTGAAACAAGGTAAAACACAATTTGAGTCCCCGATAGAAAAAAAAATTAATCCAATTTGCCCCAATGTTTTTAGTTTTTGAAGTAGGGGAGGCTACTCTGAATTCAATTAATTGCCTTAATTGATATGATCATGATGATAGCTTTACCGCGGCGTGGCAAATTTTCTTCCAACAGCTAACATGGCTAATGGGATTGTGGTGTTATTGATTCTATGGCAGACACACAAACTTAGTGAACATGGTGACCACAGAGCCAAAATGTTGTTTTTGTAAATATGGATAGTTGTATCACTTTCCTTTAGTCTCACAATTGTGAAAGTCCTTCAACATTGTCATGATATATAATTGTCATGACTGAGGATAACTCTGGTAGATGACTGGGTGCTCTCCACAAAGCGACCATCAAGAACGTTCAGATAGATTTTACATGTTGTGTAAGAAGTAAAACAAAAACTGTCATAAAAAGCTTAAGCATTTTTTAAGAATTCTGTTTTGCTTGAGACCTTACCTTTTTCGGGAGGAGGGGGGCCTTATATCATGTATGTTCTCTTCTCAGTAAAACATTGCACGCGAGGGATTTACTTTGAACAGTCACCATCATTGACAATGTTAACATTAGGACATCTAGGCAGGCCTTTGAAAGATATTTCAGCTTTCATGAAAACTAAACTTGCTAAAGTGCCATGATATACTGGTCACTAACTTGTGGCTATGATGTTGTCTGTTGCTATGATGTTGCGTGTTGCTATGTTGTTGTGTGTTGCTATGTTTTTGCGTGTTGCTATGATGTTGTGTGTTGCTATGTTGTTGCGTGTTGCTATGATGTTGCGTGTTGCTATGATGTTGTGCGTTGCTTTGTGTTGCCATGTGTTGATATGATGTGTGTTGCTATGTGTTGCTATGATGTTGTGCGTTGCTTTGTGTTGCTATATGTTGCTATGATGTTGTGTGTCGCTATGATGTTGTATGTTGATTTGATATTGTTTACCAGTGCTGACAAGTGTGTTTCTCCTCCAGGCCCAGTACTATGGCCCCATCAGTATCGGGACACCAGCCCAGGACTTCAAGGTTATCTTTGATACTGGATCCTCCAACTTGTGGGTTCCGTCCAAGAAATGTTCTCTAACTGATATTGCCTGCTGTAAGTAGCCAATGCTGGAAGAGGGGCTGGATAATATGTGCACGTTTCCAGGTTCACTTCATGTTTATTATATCCCTGTGGGGATTCAACGGTTTCAGGGGGCATGGGCGGACAAATAGTCTAAGGCTTGTCAGCAAAGTGGTAAACATCTGAGACCTGCATCACTTCAGACTTTTCCCCCCGGGTTAGGCTGACATGCTGTGATATAACTAGAATACTGTTCAAAGCCACATAACACCAAACATGCTCACTCACTCTAAGGTTTCAATTGTCCCTTTGTAACCAATGATTGTGATGTAAAACGTCGCGTTTATTAAAGTTATTAAATTCAGGTTATTCAATTGGTCCTTTGTATGCAGTGATTGATGTATAATGTCACATTTATTAATATTGGTGGTGAATTCAGCCTTTTCAACTGGTCCTTTGTATGCAGTGATCGATGTTTAATGTAAACGTTTTTTTAGATTGCTGATGGATTCAATCTTTTCATGCATGGATAGGTATCTGACATAGGTAATTTGAGGCTGTTGAGCATGTGATGATATTGTGGATTCTGTAACATGTTCAGTGACTATACAGTTTATCCAGTGGAAGTTTAATTCTGTTGTTAACTGTTAGGTAGGTATAATTGTTTTGTTTGCTTATCTTTTTGTTTCTGAAAAGTTATTCTGAACTTAGATATGTTCTAGAAAGACTTCATTTTGTGTAGGGGGCACGGGTGGCCCAGTCGGTTAAGGCACCGCGATTTGCTGTGCAGAGTTGCGTCCCTTGGGCACGCCAGAAACCTATGATTGTAGGTTCGAATCCTGGTTCGCCCCAATTATGTTTCAAGGTTTGTCAGCACCATACCCATACTCGTGGGTTTCACCAAAGTGGTAAACGTCTGAGATCTGCTTCACTTCTGGCTTTCCTCCCACATTAAGCTGACACGCTGTGATATAACTGGAATAATGTTAAAAGCGGCGTTAGACCAAACTCACTCATTTTGTGTAACAAGTGTAAAGGAAAGTAGTTTTGAGGGTATTAATTGATGAAATGGTTGGGATCTCCTGATATGAATCTTGTTCCTACCAACATGCATTAGCGATATGTTGACGGGCCCAGCTGTGTTTCTGACATTGTTTGTTGTCTCCCACAGTGCTCCACAACAAGTATGACAGCACCAAGTCCAACACATATATCGCCAACGGCACAAAGTTTGCCATCCAGTACGGCACTGGTGAACTCAGTGGATTCCTCAGCACTGATGATGTTACAGTAAGTACAGTTTCACCCTTCCTGGGGTTTCTGGGTTAGGTTGGTCTTCAGCACTGATGATGTTACAGTAAGTACAGTTTCACACTTCCTGGGGATTCTGGGTTAGGTTGGTCTTCAGCACTGATGATGTTACAGTAAGTACAGTTTCACCCTTCCTGGGGTTTCTGGGTTAGGTTGGTCCTCAGCACTGATGATGTTACAGTAAGTACAGTTTCACACTTCCTGGGGTTTCTGGGTTAGGTTGGTCCTCAGCACTGGTGATGTTACAGTAAGTACAGTTTCACACTTCCTGGGGTTTCTGGGTTAGGTTGGTCCTCAGCACTGATGATGTTACAGTAAGTACAGTTTCACACTTCCTGGGGATTCTGGGTTAGGTTGGTCCTCAGCACTGATGATGTTACAGTAAGTACAGTTTCACCCTTCCTGGGGTTTCTGGGTTAGGTTGGTCTTCAGCACTGATGATGTTACAGTAAGTACAGTTTCACACGTCCTGGGGATTCTGGGTTAGGTTGGTCCTCAGCACTGATGATGTTACAGTAAGTACAGTTTCACCCTTCCTGGGGTTTCTGGGTTAGGTTGGTCCTCAGCAGCTTATGATGGCAGTAAGAGGCAAACAAATGGATCGGGTGGTCAGGCTGGCTGACTAGGTTGATAGCGTGTCCCTGTGCCCTAACGACATAGATTGTTGTTCACAATGTTGATCACTGATTTGTCGGGCCGGGATTTGATTATTTACAGACCACCATCATATAGCTACGATATTGCTGAGTGCGGTGTTAAACAATATACAAACAAAATGTTCCATACCTCAACAAGCTTCCTAAGGCTAGGGTGTCGTGGTTTGTTTACTTCACACATCGTCGGGACGGTCTAGTTATAGTTTCACCAGGATCATGATGCATGATAATAAATTCCTCTGGCCAAGCATTTTTGCTATTTTGTAACTGAGATCAAAACAAAAGTACCAGGTGACCCAGGTAACCAGAAAATTAACACTGTACTTTGGATAGAAAGTAAACTGTAATATCAGAATGAATTGGATAGAAGTTATGCTGTAATGTAGGCCTGAATTGGATAGAAAGTAAACTGTAATGTCGGCCAGAAAGGTAGTAACATGAATATTAATTTATTTCACTCCAGACATTATACATTTATCATGAGACATTCCTGAGATATCTTGCTTGTGTGGTCAATGCATAGATCTGTTCAGTAGAGCCATATCCTTCCACCAATGTTTTCCATGAAACCTTTGCAGATTGGCACAGTGACAGTGAAGAAACAGACATTTGCTGAGGCCACCAAACAGCCTGGGATCACATTTGTTGCTGCCAAGTTTGACGGAATCCTTGGACTGGGCTATTCTTCCATCTCGGTGGATCAGGTCGTCCCCGTCTTCTACAACATGGTGCAGCAGTCACTTGTCCCCCAGTCCATCTTCTCCTTCTACCTGAGTCGGTAGGTGTCCCCAGTCCGTCTTCTCCTTCTACCTGAGTCGGTAGGTGTCCCCAGTCCATCTTCTCCTTCTACCTGAGTCGGTAGGTGTCCCCAGTCCGTCTTCTCCTTCTACCTGAGTCGGTAGGTGTCCCCAGTCCGTCTTCTCCTTCTGCCTGAGTCGGTAGGTGTCCCCAGTCCATCTTCTCCTTCTACCTGAGTCGGTAGGTGTCCCCAGTCCGTCTTCTCCTTCTGCCTGAGTCGGTAGGTGTCCCCAGTCCATCTTCTCCTTCTACCTGAGTCGGTAGGTGTCCCCAGTCCATCTTCTCCTTCTACCTGAGTCGGTAGGTGTCCCCAGTCCGTCTTCTCCTTCTACCTGAGTGGGTAGGTGTCCCCAGTCCGTCTTCTCCTTCTACCTGAGTAGATAGGTGTCCCCAGTCCATCTTCTCCTTCTACCTGAGTCGGTAGGTGTCCCCAGTCCGTCTTCTCCTTCTACCTTAGTTCAGTTACTACAGTTCAACATAAAAGTAGGACAGCAACCAACACAGTATAATCTACAGTTAGTACATTTCCAATCTCATTAGAATTAGATCTTAGTTTCCGCTTCTGCTAAACAAAGATCTCAGGACATCCCATTATGGGTCATGTCAGACTGACCTTTCGCGAACTTTGACTGACCAATGGAATTACTGACAAGAAGTTGACATTCGCCAATCAGAAGACAGCTTTCTCGTGTTGATTGCACTAATTTCAAACTGCCGACTGCACTTTGAAACATATTTTGACATATTCTTGATTTAAGATTTGAAACCTGAACAAATGAATCTTCTGGAAAGGCTAATAGATGGCCTCGATTGTATGGATTCAGTCATAAAGCCTGTAACTGTCGTTCGGAATACCCCATGTGAAATTTTTTTAAGGTTAGAAAGCACATTCCGACTGTCACTTTCCTGATCTGGTAGGCAACGCTCTGATTGGTTGGATGAAAGGTCATTCTGACATGAGCCATAAGGAGATGTCCTCAGATTTTTGTTTTGCAGTAGTATAATGAGATTTGGTACCTTTCAGGAAAAGATATTCTATGTCCTCATGCTGTAATACTGCAAGACTTCTTCCCACATGGCTACTTGCTGTGTTTTCAGGAACCCTAAGGCAAAGGAAGGGGGTGAGCTGATCTTCGGAGGAAGTGACCCAGCCAAGTACAGTGGGAACTTCACCTATGTCCCAGTCTCAGAGCAGGGCTATTGGGAGTTCAAAATGGACGGGTATGTAGCACCTTTATTTTGCACTTATGAACCGATTTTGCAAATTCTTTGAATCTAATATAAAAACAACAACTTTTTAACATTTATTAAGAATTTTTACACGATTTTTAGTAAAAATCTGTTGATGCTCTTTCAAACTGGCAACTGAGAAAACTTGTGAACCATATTGGTCTCACCATGGTGATCCCAATACTGGTTACAAGAGCTCACAAGTGAAGATTTGTTGGTCACAATGTCTGACCTGGCTGATTGTGTATCAGTGCACCCCATAGCATGGGTCATGTGGTGAGACTGTGTGTCTTGATGATGTGGTCTGTTGGTCTGTTGCTGATTGTGTATCAGTGTACCCCATAGCATGGGGTCATGTGGTGAGACTGTGTGTCTTGATGATGTGGTCTGTTGGTCTGTTGCTGATTGTGTATCAGTGCACCCCATGGCATGGATCATGTGGTGAGAATGTGTGTCTTGATGATGTGGTCTGTTGCTGATTGTGTATCAGTGCACCCCATAGCATGGATCATGTGGTGAGACTGTGTGTCTTGATGATGTGGTCTGTTGCTGATTGTGTATCAGTGCACCCCATAGCATGGATCATGTGGTGAGACTGTGTGTCTTGATGATGTGGTCTGTTGGTCTGTTGCTGATTGTGTATCAGTGTACCCCATGGCATGGATCATGTGGTGAGACTGTGTGTCTTGATGATGTGGTCTGTTGCTCGTGTTTTCTGGGGAACAATAGTTCAGCAGTGTCCTGTTCTTGTTATAAGAGCTATTAATGAGGATTGGGTGGTCAGATTTGGCAGGGAGGGGGTGTTGGGGTTAGCCCAGAGGCTAAAGCGTTCGCACATCATGCCAAAAACCTGAGTTTGATTATTACATGGGTATAGTGTGTGAAGCTCATTTTCCTTGCTGTGGTATGGCTGAAATATTGCTAAAAGGAGCGTAAAACCATACTCACTCACTGATTTGGCTGATTTTGTGTCATTGTACGGTTTGCCTGATTATGATTCTACGTTTGTCAGCACCATACCCATTCTAGTGGATTTCACCAGAGTCGTAAATATCTAAGCCCTGCATCACTTTCGTCTTTCCTCCCACATCAAGCTGACATGATATGTTATAACTGGAATACTATTCCTAATTCAAATCGGTTGTTAAACCACTCACTCGCCATTGGTCAGTTAACTCCCTTGCCTCGGGAAGATTGTGAGTGAGTGGTGTAACACCGGATTGACTTGGGAATAGTATTCCAGTTATATCACAGCCTGTCAGCTTGATGTGGGAGGAAAGCCTATAGTCAGTTTATTCCCTTGCCTCAGGAAGATGCTCACTCACTCACTCATGCTTTCAGTTATTGATTTGTTTGGTCCAGACTCAATTACTGTATTCGACGTAATAAGCGCGCAGGGCGCTCTCAAAATTAGAAATAGGGGGCTCTTATTAGAATATTATTTTGGTGAAAAAAACAGAGTTGAAAGATAAATTTCGTGGTTTATGCTGACAGCCTGAAATGTTTATATACGACAGATATATTTTTCCAGAGTTAAATTCCCCATAATTGAGGGTGCATATTACACACAAGTGCGTATTATACACGAATAAATACGTCTTGTGTACATTGATCAATCTGAAGGGGTGCTAATTGGGATTGTTCACTAGACAATTTATTAGCAAATATCGCAGTGGGCGCTTATTATGTCGAATACGGTACTTACATGGTTACAGATTGATGTAGCTTGAATATTGATGTAGCTTGAATATTGCTGAATATTTCAGTATCACTCTGGGATCATCAAAATTCTGTGAAGGAGGATGCAAGGCTATTGCTGACACTGGCACTTCTCTCCTGGCTGGACCCACATCAGAGGTCACCAAGCTGAACCAGGCCATCGGAGCAACACCACTCGCCAAAGGAGAGGTACACCAGACTTATATGAAGGATTCGAGTTTTAAAATATGTTAAAATGATTCTAACTGTCCTCTTCCATGTTTAAGAGGAGACTAAGGCTTAAACAAATAATAGTCTTGGTTCTCAGGCACTGCCCACATTATCATAAAGTTCATGGCACGTTTCGTTTTTGCATTTTTTGTGTTTAAGTATTTGGATTTTTATATATACTACTCAAAAGAAGTTAAGGATCACCCGATTCTTTCATATTGGTAATGTTAATCTGTCATGGCATGAGAGATTAACTATTGTAATATGAAAGAATCAGGTGATCCTTAACTTCTTTTGAGTAGTATATTTTGGAAAATGGAAATAAAAACAAAACGTGCGGCAGACTTTATGATGATGCGGGTGGTGCCTGAGAACCAACACTATTATTTTTTTAGCCATGTTTGCTATGTTACTGTTCTGAGTTAGGTTCTGTGAGCGTTAGCTCCCCTGTAATTAACTTTCATGCTATCATGATAAAGTATACTAGTTCAGTTTAATAAAGGACATTTTAGACCGCCAGCAGCCAGCCCATCCTTGATTATCCAGCATATTGTTTGTTTTTGCCATTGTATTATGATAAATACCCTGGCCCCATTGCTCCATGTGGGAGGTGATGTCACTCTCTCCATCTCTCCAGGACTGGATAGTCAAGGATGACGCCAGCCATGCTGCAACAGCTGCTATAACAAAAACTAATTCTTGTTCCTTTCTTAAAACTGTTGGCTACATGACGTATGTTCTATACACAGTACATGGTCGACTGTAACAAGATCCCCAGCCTGCCTGTAATCACGTTCACGATTGGAGGAAAAGCATTCCCTCTGACAGGACAACAGTATGTTCTCACGGTAAGTCTTGTCATAGGTCGGCCAATAACACCAGCCTACTGTGGCCAGTAAAGTCTTCAAATGACTAGGGAGGGCTGTGGAATCCCAGCATGAGTATTGGGCACATCTCCTCATGGATGTCGGGCTGATTACCTGCGGTTAGATGGGGTCCGCAGCACTGTTGTGATGACAGGTAACTAGACTGGATCTGAAGGTGACTTACAGTGACTTGGTTGTACCCTGACGGAGAGGGACCTTGATTGTAATGTCACAAAACTGGTTAAATATGTTCTCAATGTTGCTTTTGGTGTTATGACTACACTGTAACTGTTATATTGTGTTAACTAGACAATATGTTTCTGTATGCTGTATGTTTGCTTTCACCTTTGCTCATGCCCTCATATGTATTGCTTAATTGTCCCTGGTTACCTCCCCTTACTCAACTACAGCCTTATATCTCTCTCTCTCTCTCTCTCTCTCTCTCTGTCTGTCTGTCTGTCTGTCTGTCTGTCTGCTTGGACCCTAAGATTACCCATAATGCCATGTACCTTTTCAGGTTTCTGAGGGCGGGGTGAGCATCTGTCTGAGTGGCTTCATTGCTCTGGACGTGCCGCCTCCCAGGGGGCCTCTGTGGATTTTGGGAGATGTTTTCATTGGACCATACTACACTGAATTTGATTTGGCCAAAAATCGTGTTGGATTTGCACCGTCAAGAAATTAGTTGTTTCTGCATGGAAATGTTAGAATAAACCAAACATTTTCCGTATATAAAACACTCTGTAATCATGATCAATAATGATTGATACTTGAAACAATTTAGATCTTAATGATAGGTGATGTTACCAGCTTATGTTTTTACACATTTACCATCAAAACAGTGGTAAACTTGAATTCCTATAGTGCTATATCGACCAGTGAGTGAGTAAGTGAGCAAGCTACAGAAGGAATAAATCTGTACATGGTGGAGTAAACACAAGCTATTCTGCTGTGATTCGTGATGATCAATGTGATCTGATCATGTGAAATCTTGTCTTTAATTTTAAAGGCAATTCAGTTAATTCCACTTGTAAATATTTGAATCTCGGTGTAATGACTACTTTGTATAGTTTAATCATGTTAATCAGAGTGTTTGTTTGTTGTTGGTCGCTTTCTTGATGCAGTGTAGCCCAGATTATGGTATTATGTGTCTCAATGAAGGGGTTAAAACTGATAATGTACTAATCGGAACCAAGGATGCACTTAGCAAGTGTATAGCATCTCTTTGAATGTTTGAGGTTTTTCAATTAGCATCGTCTTCTTTTAGAAGATGAAATCTTGACAAGAAGTCCACTAACTCTGCTTGGCTAGAAACTCACTAATCATAACCGTTGGCTTAAGTTTCTGCTGCCTTGTCTGATAATTATGCATGTTAAACATAGTGGTACACAAAATGTATACAAAACCAAAGTTTAGTTACTATTTTCATAGTCTGGATGTCAACTACCAGAATGAAGAGACAGACTACACTCCTTTATGCCTTCCATCTTTGCATCCAGTTTTACATGACTATCAGGAATGTTAGCTGTACACGTGACAAACCTACTCCTTGAGGAAGTCGGGGAACGTAGTCCTCACTGTAGATAGTTGGTCTTGCTGGTGAGTTGTTTTCATGGCTTGCTAACAACTGCAGCGAATATTTACAAACTTTCTCTCCAGCCAGAGCTTGTTGAGACATTATAATCGTTTGGTTGTGGCCTTGGTCTTGCTTAAGAGGTAAACCCTGCAGCAGACTGAGACCTGGTTTGAGGATTCTATGCATGAATGCCTTTTAAAAAAAGCCTTGACTGTCTGTTTGTCTTGTTCCTGCATTTGGCATGGGGGGTTGCTTGTCGTTTCTGCTTGGCTTGGCTAATATCTTTTGTGTTGCAGTTCTTTCTTTCATCTATTCTTGGAGCAGGAGGGTGGTTTGAAACATTAACATTAACATTCACATTGGTTTCTATTGTGCAGCTTTTGCCATCTAGTAAAGTTTCAGTCTAAGCGACTTAGTGATAAATACCTACATGATTGAGAGTTTGCAATGATGATGCCCAAAGTATGTGTGTGGTAGATGGAATGACTGTGGCTCGATACTTGTTTTAAACTCAACTTAATAAGTATGTGAGGCACAAATAGCACGAAGCTGCCATACTATGTAACTGTCCAGCACTCATTTGTCTTGCACTTTCTCTCTCTCCAACAGTAGCTTGATGTTTTCAGCCTCTTCCTCGTCAAAAAGCATGATCGGAGACCTTGGACGTACTGTACTAATCCTTGTGCATCTTGATCCATTAAGCTTTAGTGTATTTCTTAAGAGTCCCTATTGATATTGTGAAGAAAGCTCAAATGACATTGTGTACTCCTCAATATTCAAAAGGGAGAAAAGGGTTCATTCTATTTTTATATTGCAAAATGAAAATGTTCTCACAAAGTGATTTTTTTTTTTTTTTTTAAATCAGAAAAGTATTAATACAGGATTAAAATTTTGAAATTATGGTTCAATTTGAAGTAATTTTGGTGATTATTTTAGGTTACCAGGTACTTTGAAAATACACTTCTCGACTTTTGATAGGGAGTGTCCAGGTGGGATCTGAATGTGACTGATATATCAGACATGTTGTCATACAAATAGTATACAATATTGCCATGGAACTGAAGCATGTGCAACTTTTCAAGTTGATTAAACATAAACACACAGTTCAATCAGTTGTTGCATTATGTCACATGAAATATCCCGGTAGCCTGTCAAATGTTGAGAAGTATAAATTTCCTTATACATCTCTACATGCTTAATGGATCAGCACTAGCCATCTAGTGGCTGCTTGTGGCTGTGGTCTTTCCTGTCTGTCTGTCTGTCTGTCCCTACACTGTGTGGGTGTTTGTTCCAGGTGTCTCAGGGGGGTACCACCATCTGCCTCAGTGGCTTCACCCCTATTGATGTGCCACCACCCCGGGGACCCCTGTGGATCCTTGGAGATGTCTTTATTGGGCCTCAGTACACTGAATTTGATCTCGGAAATAACAGAGTTGGATTTGCAACAAGCAAATAAGTTATTCCACTACTTAAAGGTAGAGGTAACGATATCAAAATGTAAATTATGTCGTGGAAATATACATGAGTGGAAGTCTTTCATTGTGGTTTACAAACATTGTGCGAGTGTAGATTTTGGCATTTGTATATTTTGTAAAATGTTGAGTGAATGGAATAAACTTTCTCTACAAAAAAGCAAGTTTCTGTTATGTCTTATTGGTCACATTGTTGTGCAAGTAGGTAATTAATTTCATTAAGTGTTGGTGGAACTGATGACTTAATCCAAGGACGAAGGACAGAGAAGTGAAAATCCTTTGCCGTCTCCCAAGTCATCCATGTACCTCCGTACACTGTTGAATATTACCGCCTCCTTAAGCTTAGTGTAGTGGATAGAGCGTCTATCTGGAGAGAGGAAGGTTGATGGTTTGAGGGCGCTTCATAGAGCGAATACAGTATTTAAACGGATTAAATATGCAACAAATTGGAGGAGTAAATGGGTAGACTGATCATGATTCGAACCCACAATCATTGCTTTTTGGCGTGCCCAATGGATGCAACTCTGCTCAGCAAATCGCAGTGCCTCAGATGACTGGGCCTCCGGATAAGTTAAAATTGTTCAGGTTCTACTGCACCTGATGGAGTCAGAGGGGTTTAAATCAATAAAAGAAATATAAAACCCCACTTGACTAGTATTGATTTAAACCCCAGTGCATGGAACTAAAATGGGGATTAGGTGCTTACATTGGGACACGGCTGATTGCGTGCCGTCGCATCCCGGAGACGATGCAGATCATTGTTCTAACCATTTCTATCTTGTTTGTAAGGCTGAGACCTGGTTATTCATAAGATGACGGGAGAACACATCCATGAGCATTTACAGCCCAAGAAGATCCGGGCTAGAACAGGTCTTCAGCAACCTATGCTTGTCTTATGAGGTGACTATGCTTGTTGGAGGCGACTTATGGGATCAGGTGTTCAGACTCACTGACTTGGTTGATACATGTCATCATAAGCCAATTGCATAGATCGAAGCTGATGTGAATCACTGGATTGTTGACTTGATTATATACAGATGTCCGTCATATAGCGGAGTGATACATTCAAATTGAAAAATCAAACACAAACATTAATATATACATGATATGGAGGACCTTTCAACAGGCCAAATGGATTCTCTATTAGATCAACGTTTGGAAAGTATTTGAATGAGCTACCAATGGTGGGGGTTCTTTTTCGCAGTTGGGCTGCTTTGACCTCCCACACTGTAGGCATCAACGATCAGTTGAGGTGAAATTTGTTGAGAATAAAGCTATCATTAAATAACACATAGGTTACTATGGATTCTAACCATCAACTCAATAAATCCTTGAAGCTTCAAGGCGCAGCTCTGTAAATGTGCAGCCTAGATGCAGTGTTTGTGCAGCTTTATGAAGTATAAGATAATGTTGTGCTTGACCTTGGTTTTTGGCAAGGGAAGGAAAAGCAGACATGTCAAAGAAAAACAAAATTCAAATGATGTCCATCACTAGATTATCTGGTCGAGACATGATTATTTACAGCCTGTTGACAACTAGCTGCAATATTGCTTATTGCAGCATAAAACAACAAACAAATTCACAGTGATTGATGAATTCCCTGTCCATTGCACCACCACATCACTCTGTCCGACTACTGGACTGCAATTCTGCTTATGTTCAACCTTTGTCGTTGCAGTTTTGACAAGAACGTTATTAAAAAAGACACCCAAAAATCAATATATTAACAAAACACTTTATTGTGTGTAGCAATGCACATGCATGCATACAAGCATGACAAATACGTCTTCACGTGACTATCAGTGTGTTGTATATAATCTTTTACAAAATTCATCCACACACCGTTCCATTATATACACAAGGGAAGGACATTCCTTCCAACAAAACCAATTTTCAGAGACACTGGGTTACAGATATATCAGCTCAACCTGTCACTGTTTATACCTGTTGGGCATTTTGTACCAAAGACGGACACCCTGTACAATAGACTAGGGCCTTGTTGACGGCTATGAATTGTTTATACAATCCAATCTCTGTTCTGGAGATTTGTTTTGAAGACAATACAAAGGATTGGCAGCTTGATAGTAGACCTCAACTGTCTGAATGCAAGACTTGTATGTTATGTGTACAAGTCTGGCTGGCGTATCCGAGAAGCTTTGTCTTTGTTTCGTGCATGTTCTTTCAACATAGTCATAACTTCACTGTCAAACTCTTCTGGCGTAGGCTTGGCACCTGAAACAGTAACAGGAGATTTCATACAGATCTTTGGATGAAAAATTCAAGCACTTTATCATGTTTTGATTTTGGTTTTTGTTTGTTGTTTAACTCTACACTCAGCAATATTATAGCTATATGGCAGTGATCTGTATAAATAATCGAGTCTGGACCAGACAATCCAGAGATGGATATCATGAGCATCGATCCATGAAATTAGGACATGACATGTATCAAACCTATTCTAACCCGGATCTTCGCAGGTCTTTCATCATGTTTATTGGGACTTGAACTTCAGGGGTACTGACACTCGAATGGCAATCATTAACAAGTGCCCTATTCATTCCATACACTGATTGTCTTTAGGATAATAAAGTATTTCGTCAATCACTTTTAAAGGATTTCATTGACTTCACAAGTGGTATCATCTAATGTGTTAGGCTGTTCTAAAGTCAAGGATATTCCTCATCTATGGTGGTTAAGATTCTGCCAACATTATATCTGCAAGGCAATAGATTACAATAGGTTAAAGGTTATGACAAGCTTTAATAACACTTCACATATGGCAACATATGCACAAATTAAACTTTAAAGATAAAAAAACAAATCTGAAATAACATTTAACCTGCATTATTACCACCTTCATTATTTCTTTTTAAAATAGAAAACGATTGGCCTATCTGGTCTGATCATGCCAAGAGTGCCCTGAAAATACTAAACCGGTTCAAACCGTGCACTTATTGTTTAGGGAAGTACTCATGGTAGTTGGGAATTTATCAGAGGCCAATATTCGGCCCCAAGTCAAGTAAACGACAACGAAGATTCCCAATTTGAATAAAATAATTCCCAAAGTCTCAGACGTTTACCACTTTGTGAAACCCACGAGCACGGGTATGGTGCTGACAAACCTAGAAACATAATTGGGGTGAACCAGGATTTGAACCCACAATCATAGGTTTCTGGCGTGCCCAAGGGACGCACAGCGAATCGCAAGGAATACATAGGATTAGTTGAAAAATTACAGAAATTGGTAAGGGTTTCTCTTGTATATCATCACAAGCACGAGTGACGACAATGTGTTTCTACTACCCCTGACCACCCAATCAAACTTCATTCTTACAACTTCATATCATTTCTGTTTTGTGTTCATCTGTTTACAGATCCTGTCTATTTCAAAAGAGAGGCATAAAATGAAAATTTTGGGAAGAGTTTCATTCCCCCTCAAAGTGGTACTGGTAAAGAAAAAATATACATATGGACAGGATGGAAGGGAAGCATTTCTCAAAGAATGTTTCAATCATCATGATTCTTTTTTAACCTCACACAATCTTAAGAGATCAGGTTCACATTAATAGGTGACCAATTTAGTTTCCATTCTGATCACCCCTTGTAATTATACCACGACTTACCGGTGACCCAGTAGTAGATCTCCCAGTCATTGGTGGGTTGGTTGATGAGTCGGTCGTACAGTAGGAGCTGGGATTCATTCAGACTGTCCAGATGCTTGGCAGCAAAAGTACTGGAAAAAAGTATTACGATAATTGCAACAAAGTGATGCAGGTTTTATATGTTTACTATGTTGGTGAATCCCACAACAATGACAAAGAGTGAACCAGGATTCGGACCTATGGTCATGGGCTTGTGTCAGGCCTAAGGAACGTAATGTTGCACTGCAAACTGCGGGGTCTTATACTTCTGTGACGCCCTTGCTACGAGCAAAGATCTAAAATCTCAAGCTGACTCTTGATCAACATCGACATCAATTTTTACTGCAGAAACAACTTTCAACCTATGACATGTTTGCACATATAATGTCAGACAGTAATAAACTGATAGCTAGAGTCGGTGGCAGTTTGAATAGATAAAATATACCAGAGCAACTAAACATACTAAATATTCTAAAGGACAATACTTTTACATCAAGTCATAAAAAGCAGCCAGTAAATCTTGATGGGTTTATCATGGTTATAGTCATAATAATGTGAGTGCATGGGATTTTCATTACCCATTATTCGAGTCTCTTACCAGTGAACGAGTCCTAAATGTCACACATTGCCAGTCTGGTAATAAAGTGATCATTGTGATGAAAGATTTGTTCAATGCTGAAAATTCATCAAATAAATTATAATCCTTAGCCCCTAACAAACCTGAGCAGGAGGCCGTTCTCCAGCATGCCTCTTTTGCGACTCTGATACAACAACCTGGCTCTCTTCAGTTCAATGTCCTCATTGGTCTTCTCTACGTAGGCAGGTATTGGAGGATCCATGTCGGACCCAGCATCTATAGGGCCGGAACTCAGCATCCGTCCAAACACTGGAGTAGGCATTCTCTGAAACAGGCAACAATTCTCTATGCTGTGGCATCAACTAATTTGTCTTACAGTACAGAAGCCTTGATGAATGATAATTCCCTTACAGCATATTTAAAAATAGAAGCAGTAACCATGGTAACTGAGGCTGGGAAAGTCAACTTGTTTGCAGATTTTTGGGTTCATAAATTTTAAGAGAATACATTTTGGAAGGAAACATTTTGTGTACTCAGAATGCTATTGTTTGAAGAGCTAGCAATTAGCACATCTTCGATAATATAAGCGGACTGGTACATAGCTATGGCTGCCCAACTAAGGCCGGCCCCTCATAGTGCTTCTCTGTCTACTATGTCAGCAGGTCTAAGCTCTAGCGCACCGTTTATTAGAATTATAGATCTAGGATAATATTGATGATGTAATATTAATGAGGTCATCTTTCCTCAACGTGTAACGCGTTTGAGTATCTTCAAGTGCGTTGGTTAACGGCAAGATCCCCAAATGAATGACGTAATTCAATTTACCATCTCCATTATGCCGAAGCCGAAAGACGATTTTCAATGTCAATGTCAAACTTGTTTCCAGAATTGTGCTGTTTAGTTGCTGTCCAAACTATTCTTATGACAGGTAACATATATAACTCAACATTTGCATTTATATCTGTGTTAATTGTAGCTTCTAATAATACTTACACGCTGACGAACCTGATAAATAAAACGCCTTATCCCAAGAAATGCTTTCGAAAGCCCTGCCATATTTATCTTTATGTAACAAATTTAGAGTTACTTGCCCTTGAAAGGGGAGGTAATACCGCTCGAATGAGTAACGATGTCAAACTGAGTCAGTGATCGTCATAGGCAAGATCAATCCGTTGTATTTCAGTGTGTTGGAGAATATGACTGAAAAACATTTTAATGACGAAGGCAAGTATTTAGATACTAGTGTAACGCCTTGTGACACAAAGTATCTCTCTTTCCCGATATCCATCCTATTCTTTAATGTTTATATTTACAACAACATCAATGACGATAATAATGTACCTTAATATAGAATAACAATTAGCTGCATCAACAATATGTCTCTATAGAAGCAAGAAGATAAATTACAAAATGTGTCAAGAATCAAAGATGGTTGCTGGAAAACAATAAAGTATCTATTCGCTCATTTCTCCCCGATGTAACTGGAATACTATTCAAAGCAGATTCAAACCCATCTCACTCACTCTGTTACCCGTCTTCCCACTCGGCCACACTCACCCACCCACTCGCCCTCACTCACCCACCCACTCACTCCAACAACACTTATGAGTATATTGCAAGTTAGTCTTTACCGACTAACTGCGGCATGGCATCTCAGTGAGCTAGCACTATAAATCGGCATCAGTCCGGACTAGTACAAGCAGCCACACAAACACACACACGTGCATGCACGTCGCTATATAAGTGCAAATATCTTGGACGCGACGTTAAACCCCATTTCACCTCACCTCATTCGTCATTATTGATTTAACGTGATTTTAGATTTGATTCTTCTTATTTATATGTTAAATTTAGTTAAACATGGTTTTGATATTTCTCCACAATGTTAATATACGTATCTACATATTCATGCTGTGGTTTAGCGTGAATATTGGAAGAAGAACTATTTTGCGCATTTGCCCTCGGTTGGTAGCTCTGAGACCACTGAAGACCAAACCTCAGGTGTGAAGTCTTAGAGGACAGCAGTCAGGTGTATTTGTTACAGGATGAAAATGGTCGAAGTAATGGTGATCACGTGACATGGCGCACACATGAACAGAGTGTTCGATGTTAGAAGAATCTCACTGGTCAACTCCATGTGCAAGATTTTGACTTCAGTTATAAATAATAATCTGCAACATTGGTGATAATAACAATATAATAACAGAATCACAAGTTGGATTTAAGCGAAATTTATCCCACCACGGACCATATATTTACTTTGCAAGCTTTGACCAACAAATATTTATGAAAGAAAAATGGAAAGTTTTATTGTCTCCTTATTGAGTGAGTGAGGTTTTACGCCGCTTTTAGCAATATTCCAGCAATATCACGGCGGGGGACACCATAAATGGGCTTCACACCTTGTACCCATGTCGGGAATCGAACCCGTGTCTTCGGTGTGACGAGCGAACGCTTTAACCACTAGGCTACCCGGTCGCCCTGACTCTTTATTGACTTCTCCAAAGATTTTGACTGCATAAATCATGACGGACGCGTCATACCAAAAGACGTTAAAAGATGGTACTTGTTGTTACCCTGTCTGGCGCTCGGCATTAAGGGGCTAAAACAAGGACTGGTCGGCTCGGAGTCAGTATACTGTGTCTGAGTTGGGTATTCATGTTAAACTGCGGTATGGTATCTCAGTGGGCTAGCACTATAAATCGGCATCAGTTCGGACTAGTACAAGCAGCCACACACACACACGTGCATGCACGTCGCTATATAAGTGCAATAATCTTGGACGCGACCCAATTTCATCTCACCTCAAATGTAACATTGGCACCCGTCAAGGGTGTATCCTGAGTCCCCAATTATTCATCATTTTCACCAATCACCCTGCTTGTTCGACGAGGAAGATGGGAGAGGTGGTTTTATATATCCCATATGTCTGACGTGTCTTTATTATTAAATGCTTTAAAAAAAATAAATATTTTGGAACGTTTTGTGCAGCAATTAGGATGAAAGTAAATCTCAACAAAACTAAAATTATGGTATCTAGAAATGGAAGTCCCCTCCGCAAAAATGACAATTTAAAATGCTTCTAAACGGAGTGGAAATAGTAGTTGTCAACATGTAAAGATATCTTGGTGTAGTTTTTACACCTAAATTGTCATGGACAAAGGCTCAATCATGTTTAGCAGCACAGGCGAGAAAAGCAGTATTTTCAATTAACAACATTTTGGATGCATTAGTCATAATGATCTTTTAACCTTTTTTATGCTGTTTTCTGTGCTATGCATCTGAGATATGGGGGAACCCCTTATTGCAACATCATTGAGAGTGTGACCACGAGATTCTGAGAGTAAACAAGTATACTGATAACAATATTGTCCTGGGAGAGTGTGGCAGTCTCCATGCAATATAGTTATACATCCAGAGCAATTAATACTGGTGCATACGGATTTACCCACAACAGCATAGAATTCCCCACCGAGCATATACAATTATTAAAACTCTTGATGATAATGGTAAAATACTTGGGCATGTCATATTTGAAATACTTTATTCAGATAAGATTAATATTGACATCATGGCTGTCTCAACCCATTAGTTGCATGTCATCATTCATGATAATCTTCAACAGTGATTTTATGACTGCTTCGTTAAATATTGGCAAACCTATTTCACTTGTGACCTCACTTATCAACGGAAAATATTAACCAAGTTTCGGTGTAATAACTTCAGACTTGCTGTCGAATGCGGCCGCCATACAAAGACCCCATATACCGAAGGCTTCTGCCATGATGCTAGAGGCTTTGATTATGTTTAGGGTAAATATACATGTATTGTTTATATGTGACAATTATTCCCAACCGATAGGAGAATGTTTCACTAATCATCTCATCAATCCTCCAATAACTAAAACCTTCGTAAGACTTATGTAAAAAATATCCATATATCTAAATACTAGTATATGATTAAATGCCTTTGTCAAGTACTAAAGATAAGAAGCAAATCACCTATCCCCGTGACATAAAGTACATAAAGTGTACTTTCCTCCAACCGTTTATTCAGCATGTACATTTTTATAAAATTCCACCTTGTTTGTATTATTATGGGCCTGGAGCCTAGAGTACTAAATATTTGTTTAAAGTCTATGTCTGTTTGTCCGTCTGTCTATCTGTCTGCATATATAGCGCTGTTTGTTTGTTTGTTTGTTTGTTTGTTGTTTAAGTCCGCACTCAGAAATATTCCAGCTATATGACGGAGCTCTGTAAATAATCGAGTCTGGACCAGACAATCCAGTGACTCACATCATGAACATCAGTCTATGCAATTGGGATACGAGGACATGCATCAACCAATTGCAAGTCACCGATCCTGACCGTCCGATCCCGTTAGTCGCCTCTTACATCTATTCTAACCTAGGGTCAGATTATGACCCGGATTAAGGGTCCTGTCCGAAGGGGCTTATACTTAGAGGGCATTCGCCGAATATTTAAAAAATACAAAGGATATAAACATTCTGAGCACTTTGGAAACATACTGAGCAATTAGATATTTTTTAGAAAGTTTTAGAGAAACCCATTGAACTAGTTTCCTCTACGACAAAAGACAGGGAAAGGGAAATGTTCGATTACATTAATACGGAACGTGCTGTTCAGTCGAACGTTGCCTCTTACACACCTATGGGTGAGCAATCCATTTGCGGTAGCTGGCATCAAACATATGTGTAATTACGAATTCGAGGTCTGTGATTGGCTACTACAGGATAATGACCTAAGGTCAGATTATGACAAACTACTTTCCTGATTACAAGTTTCATTGCAAGGCTTCAGAAGCAATCGTTTACGTCTGCGTTGAACCTTTCATATAGGTTTGGGGTGTTCAATAAATGTTCTTTGATGTTATGTAGTTTTCACGATCATGATCGCCTTGATAATGCACAGATTTGGCTGAAATCTTTTTGTGGAGGGACACACTAGATGATGTTATTAGTGGTAAGCAGTAAGCCGGTTGACGTCATTTATGACCTTTGTGTGTAAGAAACAGATTACTACACGTGTATGTCAGATACCATTTATCTAAACGTATTTAAATTGACACTCGTGTAGCAATCCCTATTTCTCAGAAGTATTGATGAAGCGAATGTAGAAGTGCCATTTTCATGGAATTTTAATGTCTTTATTTTTATTTTTTTGTACATATCTATTTTACAAATATTGGATGCATCATGGTGTTTTATATTTTATGGTTTTTTGGTAAAATAAGAATAAAATAATATATAAGTCATAAAAAGGTGGCAGTATTCTAACGTTTGTGGGTTTAAGCGAATGTCAATTATATTGACATTTGGTTATGTTTATCTATTATTTCATATGAATTTCATTCATCTGAATGGTTATGAAGTCAGAGCTATGGTAAAGTATAATGCTGGATCAAGAGTATTGTCTCATTCTGGAACCAGGATGAAACTTGTTTATCACATGACCCTAATTCTTATCTTCTCAGTGGCTCATTTCAAAACTAAGATAGTTCCCTTTGCACCAATCTAACCACCTCACAATCACAGCACAACACACGAGGCAACAACAAGGTGGTAACAGGGTTAAACAGGTCAGTTAAATACTTAATCACTAGATTATGTTTAGGTTTATTAGTTCTTTTATATGTTCATTAAATATGTTGTTTCTTAAACATTAATGTTATTAAGTAACTTGTCAAATATGATAATGTTGAAAAAAGTATCGAACGTTTCTAATGTTGGTCAACTAAGTCCAAGCTATAGTTCATTTGGTAGTGTAGGAAGTTGCAATAAATGTTCTGATTGGAGTTAAAATAATTATTAAACGTCAGCTTTTTTCAGTTGGCTGTGTGCATATATAAGAAATAGTTTTGTTTGAATTGTGTGCGTGGAGACCTTAAGTGATGGTGAATGCATTGTCACAATGTTGTATGATGATTACAGGCAATCCATGTTCATCTTACGTGAGTCAACACGTTTTATTACATGGCTCAATTCTACAAATAGGTAAGGCTTATTATCATGTTTAAATATATTTATCTTTATGTACACATTTTGTGTAACCTTTGAGGGTTACCACATATTTATCATGTTATGTGTGGAATGATTGCTATGTTAGGTATGTGTAAATATTGTTTTAATTGTGAGTATGTGGGCAAAACGTGGTATTTGGCGGGAAATTACCTCCCTTGGCGTGATAGCATATGTCATCATGACTGACTAATTGATTAATGTGTATAAAAATTTACATGTGTTGTCGTTATACACCTTTTTGATAGAAGCTGCTTGTGATATTTATGTACAATTGATATAATTTATGGCTGTTACAATACTGTTATAACTGTTTCAGTGCCATTTCCGAATTTCTACACAGTGTCTACTGTTAGTGAATAATTCTCTAGGCATCAACTTGACCGTATCTTGGACATAGTGTGCAGATAGTGGAACATTGCCACACCTGGGGTATGTCGAGTTATTAGCCCCAGGCCTTGAATCAGTGGACACTTTGCCTTGTTTACTACTAGTTGTCACAGACAGTAGATATAACTAGTCAGTGCCAATCTTGCTGGGTATTTTTATCTTGTCATCCATGATAGAAAGATGTAAGGCAACAGTAGGTACAAGATTTCTTCAAAAAGCATCACATCATACCCCATGGTATTTGACATTGCAGTCATGTCAGAGTTCAACTATTCCATCAGACATAGATGTTTCTCCTTCACTTTTGTTGTACAAGTACAGGAAGCAGGATCCAATCCAGGTACACTTGTCAAATGTTACCACTCGTACTGTTGTTGTTCCACCTAGAGATGTACTCTGTGAAATTCAACCAGTATCTGTAGAAGTGTCCAAGCTTAGTCAGTCGTCCAATACTGAGTCCATTTTGGGCCTTATTGATGTAAATGATAAAGGACTGTCCCCTGAAGAATTGGATGAAGGTGTTAAACTTATCTCAAAGTACAAGTGGGGAATTAGATCTTGGTCATTCAACTGCAGTACAACATCGTATCGAGTTAATGGATAAAACTAATGACGTATTCCCCCAGTCATGTTTCAAGAGTTGAAAGATCATCTTAGACAGTTGCTAGCATGTGGAGTTATACTTAGATCACATGGTCCTTGGGCCTCTTACATTGTCCTGTGTAGGAAGAAGAATGGAAAACTTAGAATGTGCATGGACTTCAAACAACTAAACAGTTCCACTATTAAGGACAGATTTGCATTTCCAAGGAAAGAGGAAATTTTAGATTGTCTAGCTGGCAGTAAGTTTAACACTAAGTTGGATATGAAGTCTGACTATTACCAAGTCGAACTTGCAGAAGAACAAAATGAGCGCACTGCTTTTACAGTTGGCCCTTTGAGTTTCTTTGAGTATAATAGGCTTTGGTTTGGACTTTGCAACAGTCCGGCGACATTTCAACGTCTCATGCAAGACTGTCTTGGTGATTTGCATTTATCAGTCTGTGTGATATACATTGATGATCTTATGATCTTATCATAATTGCTGATAGCTATGAGGAATGACAATTTACATGTGTTGTCATACGATGCCATAGTACAAATACACCTTTTTGATAGAAGCTACTTGTGGTGTTTATGTACAATTGATATAATTTATGGCTGTTACAATACTGTTGTAATTGTTTCAGGGCCATTTCCGATTTCTATATTTCCACGTTTCTACATTTCTTCATTTCTGACTAAAACCGATCACAACCCCACAGCGAGTCATGTTAACTCTTGGCGATATGGCAGCTTTAACACGAATATGAAAACGTTTGGCACAAATTATTTATTGTCATGTTGCACAAAAACATCGTTCAATGGAATGTTGCTTTCTCTGTAGTTTTGATGTTGTAATGCCCATAGTGAAGGGTGGCCCAGTTAAAACCGCGTTAGTCATGAGTTAAACATTCCTCGCCAGCAACACCGTGATTGATGTATTATGGTGCGTGGTCAATAATTGGGAACTCAGATGTTGGAAAGTCATTAGCTGCATGACATAAAATATACTTTTGGATGAGTTAAGCAATAAATTATAACCTGAACAACGATTTCTCATATGTTTATAAAGCATATAGTCACTTTTTACCCTAGAGCAGAACTGTAATCAAGTATGACATTTGACGTACATGTTTAAGCCACACCTGCCTAATTTAATCCCGTCCAACAATTTCATTTGTCCTGTAGTAGAATTATATTAGTGACGCCTGATGTATTGTACAAAATAATCGATTTATTAGTCCGCGCGTTCAAGCAATCATTTAACGGGAGAAACGGGAGAAACAAGAGGTCAGCCTGATGAGCTACATTTGTTGTAAAAATATCAATCTTTTTCCTCAGTATATACCACGAGGCCGGTAAGTGTATTTGCCATATTGCTTGTTTCTTTAACCAATCCTTGGCAACATCTTTAGATACCTTAGCCACTGCGGCTAGTTTTTGTATTGCCTCTATACATTTCAAATATCTCACGGGCTATAGTAAATTTTATCCATTATTAATTAATATTGACGTTTCTTTAATACAATCATTTAGACAAATGTTTGTATAAGTGTATAACAATGGAAAACTACAAGCCAACAAAAGAATAAGTTGAAATAGCTATCGAAGCATTTATGCTTCTGGACAAAATTATTAAATTGAAAGAATAACCACAATGTGTATATCTTATCAAGGGTGATATGTCGAGTATCCTGGCCTAATATACTTTTGGATGAGTTAAGCAATAAATTATAACCTGAACAACGATTTCACATATGTTTATGAAGCATACAGTCACTTTTTACCCTAGAGCAGAACTGTAATCAAGTATGACATTTGACGTACATATATAAGCCACGCCTGGCTAATTTAATCCCGTCCAACAATTTCATTTGTCCTGTAGTAGAATTATATTAGTGACGCCTGATGTATTGTACAAAATAATCGATTTATTAGTCCGCACGTTCAAGCAATCATTTAACGAGTCGATCTGATAGCGAGACAGCATTGAAGCACTTGTCCAAAACACTGTATAGAAATGTATAAGTTTGAAGAAGTCGAGAAAAAAATCGCCAAATATGACTATGTCCGGTTTTCCATCTGCGACCTGAACGGCAGCAGTCGTGGTCAAGTGGTTGCTAGACGCCATGTTAGGACCTATCTGGAAAAAGGCCTGGACATGTTCCAGGGTAAGTATCAAAATTACAGATCCAGTCCTATCAAGCAGATACATTGATGCAACAAATGCATGCAAACCATATCTTGTGTTTGTTTCTTTGTTGCTTTTCGCCGCACCCAGCAACATTCCAGCTGTATGACGGAGGGTCTGTAAATAAGTCTTGACCAGACAAGCTAATGATTGATATCTTGAGCATCGACCCAAGCAACTGGGATATGATGACATGTATCAAATACGTCAGCGAGGCTGACAACCCGATCCCGTTATCGAGGCATAAGTGTTTTTAATGCAGCAACACAATATCGGTAGCAGATAGCCTCTGCGAGGACCCAAAGATGAGACACTGTTAGCCTAACAGTATCTATACTTAACAACAAACGTTCCTGTGACATTGAATAAGATTTAATGCAAAGTTATGTTTTTTACCAAATCTGAAACAATTTCGGTTTGCAACAGATAAAAGACTCCTGCAAGTGTTCAAATAGTTTAATTTGCCATACTGACTTCAGGAAATGCGTGATTTCATCAAAAAAACATGAACATGCCAAAATGTCAATTTACAAATCAATAGCATGTGTGTCCACCTCTGGTTGCGATGCAAGCAACACATCTTCGTCTCATGGGATGGACCAGGCGTCGCACAAAGTCCTCTGTGGGATATCTGTCCATATCTGCTGGAGCATGTTTCGAAGTTCCTGGAGTGTCTGTGGAACACCTGGTTGACGTTGAAGGCGCCGATCCATCTCATCCCGTATGTGCTCGATTAGTGAGAGATCAGGGGAGCGAGCCGGCCAGGGGATGACATTCACGCTGTTTTGTTGAAGAGAATCCCGAACAAGTCAAGCAATATGAGGCCTGGCGCTGTCATGTTGAAAGGTAATGACGACGTAAAAACGGTAGAACAACAGGGCCGATGATCTCGTCGCGGTAGCGCTGTCCATTGAGATTTCCCTCTACCACTATCAAACGGGTCCTCTGTCTTGCTGTAATCCCATCCCATACCATAACGCTGCCGCCCCCGAACCAATCCTCTTCCATGACACAATGATTGACGTAACGTTCACCTCGACGTCGGTACACTCGAATCCGTCCATCGCTGTGGCTGAGGTGAAAACGAGACTCGTCAATGAATATAATTTGTCCCCACTGCCTGGCCGTCCAGCGTAGACGCTGTCTGCACCACTGTAGACGTGCTTGACGGTGGTTTCCTGTCAAAATGGGACGTCTGGCAGGTCTTCTGACGACAATCCCTGCACATCTGAGGCGACGACGTACGGTTTGTGAAGATATTCGTCGAAGGCAGGGGATGCTTCTTGCAGTCACTGTTGCTGGCTGGAATCGATTTCGTAGGTGTGTTGTTCGAACCCAGTTGTCTTGTCGATTATTGGTTACGCGTGGCCTGCCACTCCGAGGATGGTCTCTGACTGCATTCGTCTGTTGCCAACGTTGCCATAAACACCAAATGGTGTCTTGCAACATCACGTTGACTCGATCCTGCTTCAAGCTTACCAATGGATCGCAGACGCTCATTTTCGGACAGGCTTGGCATTTCGTAATTGCGTACTTTTGTTGTTTTTCTGAGTGGTTGTTGTCAGCACGATGCTAAACAATGCATATTGAATCCCGTTAACGCACATGGTTTTATACCCTTTCTTGGGTAGTGAAATGCATGGGGCTTACATAAAAGTCAACTTTTGCATGAAATGCATGGTTTTCTGTAGCAGTTGCGTTTTTGTGACTTGATTCCATACATGTACTTCAATATTGAAAACCAAACTTCACTTGTTTGAAAAATACACTAAAATATTGTTGTCACAGGAACTTTTGTTGTTGAGGATACTTTGACTGATTACTCATTATTATCTACCGCAATGGATTTTTTTAGGACCGTGCACATCATGAAAATGAATGTCACGTTTGCTATCTGAACAGTAACATTTGACATATGTGTGAAACACCTGAAACAAACTTACTGATCAGTTGAGAAACGCACACTGGTTAAAATATCCCGAAACGCTAAATGGTTTCACGACTACTGACGAGTGCAATGCCATCCATGGACCTATACGTTAGGAAGAGTTAGAGATGGAGGTGGAAACCATGTGACATTGTTACATTGTGATAATTATCAGTCCAGAATATCCTATCAATCAATAAATTAAAGTTCCAATCAATAAATTTGTGTTAGTTTTGTTTCTCAAACAATTGGGTCCATTTTCGCCAAAATTTGTTGTTACTTTCTCCAAAATTTGGGCCATTTTCTCTCCAAAATTTGGGACCATTTTCTCCAAATTGTCCGGGGCCATTTTCTCCTGCACCCGCAGGGATGATCCTACTGCAATCTCATTATAATCAGACCTTAGTTCTCGCTACCAATAAACAAAGATCTGAAGACATCCCATTATGGGTCACGTCAGAACGACCTTTCATCCGACCAATCAGAGCGTCGCTTACCAGATCATGAAAGTGACAGTCGGAATGTCATTTCTCATCATGCAACCTCGAAAACTTTAACATGGGGTAATCCGAACGATAGTTACGGGTTTAACGACTGAATCCTTACAATCTAGGCCATCTCTTAGCCATTCCAGAATGGTTTTTTTGTTCAGGTTTCAAATTTGTAATCGAGAATTTGTCAAAATATGTTTCGAAGCGTAGTCGCCAATTTGAAATTAGTGCTGTAAAGCACGAGAAAGCTGCCTTCTGATTGGCCATTCAATGGGTCGGTCAAAGTTCGCGCAAGGTCGGTCTGACGTGACCCGTAATGGGATGTCCTCAGATCTTTGTTTAGCGGTAGCGAGAACTAAGATCTGATTTTAATGAGATTGATCCTACTGTGTTATGATCGGGAGAGGGCTACACTCACCATATGTTGCATCCGTGTTAAGCCGCGCTGTTTCGCTTGATGTCGCTGACTTCGGTTGTGGTTCCACAACTGTATATAGCTTTTATTGAGCGAAAATATGATTATTTATTTTTTTCCAATACTTTAGTTTGTTCATTAGTACAGTCATCACAGCTATAACAACAATAATATAAAAAATGGTAAAAAAATGATTTTTACATAGTTTCTAAGGTAGACGATATTTATAACTTCTTAAAAAATAGGGGCGGTCGGGTAGCCTAGTGGTTAAAGCGTTCACTCGTCACGCGGAAGACCTGGGTTCGATTCCCGACTTGGGTACAAAGGATGATTGGAGGGGCTATGAGAAGGCAACGAGTTGTCATGTTTGTCTCCGGACAATTGAGCTAATGCAAACAATCACGATGACTTTCCTATTAAATAATATACTGATCAGATAACTCTGCATTTGTTGCTAAGAAAAGGTGTATATCCTTACGAATATATGGATGATTTGTTTAGATTTGAAGAAACTAAATTACCACCCACTGAATCATTCTATAGTAACTAAACAGAATAAAAAATAACCGATGCTGATTATAAAAGCGCTCTTAATGTTTGGGATAAATTAGTTTGTAAGAATTTAGGCGATTATCATAATCTGTACATAAAAACCAATGTACTGTTACTCAACGATGCATTTGAGATATTTAGAAAGACATGTTTAAGACAATATGACTTGGATCAGGCATGGTACTATTCCAGTCTCAGACTCTCGTGGGTTGCATTGTTGAAGAAGACAGGTGTAGAACTAAAATTACTCACTGATGATGATATGCACTTGTTTGTTGAGAAAGGATTCAGAGGTGGTATATCAATGACAGCGAAAAGGTATTCTAAGGCCAATAATCAATTAGTAGAAGGATATGATTCGAGTAAACCTACTACACACATATTATATCTCAACGCCAACAATTTGTACGGTTTGGCTGTGAGGCAACCTTTACCCACGGGTGGTTTTAAGTGGGTAATCAATATCAATGTGAATAATATTCCCGAAGATTCTGATAAAGGGTACATACGAGAAGTTGACTTTGAATATCCAAGAGAGTTACACAAAGACCATAACAGTTATCTGCAAGCTCCCAAAAGATTAATGGTTGATACAGTTTGGATGTCAGAATATCAACGTAACTTGATGGGAAAGACTAAGTTAGCTAACATAGAAAACTCGTACCAAATTTGATGGATAAGACTAAATATGTTGTCCACGATAGAAATCTCCAGTTATATCCGTCATTAGGCATGAAACCAAAGAAAGTACACAGAGTTCTTAAGTTTGATCAAAGTCCTTGGATGGAGCCCTATATAAGGATGAACACAGATTTAAGAAAGACTGCTACTAGCGATTTTGAAAAGAACCTATATAAGCTCATGAGCAACTCAGTATTTTGTAAAACTATGGGAAATCTAAGGAGCATGTTGATGTTAAATTTGTCAGATCTTATTAGGTAGAAAGACTTAGGAAACGTATAGCTAGTCCAGCTTTTAACAGAAGTAAGATATTTGATAATGACTTAGTAGCATTACATATGCGGAAGAGTAATATTAAATTCAACAGACCAGTATACTTTAGTATGAGTATTCTTGACTTGCCAAAACACTTAATGTATGACTTCTATTACAATGAACTTAAGAAGCAATACGGTGATAGATGCGAGGTGTTATATACCGATACAGATTCTTTGTTAATAGAAATACAAACCAAGGATGTGTATACAGATATGGCAGAAAAAATAGATATGTACGATACAAGTGATTACCCCAAAAAGAAAATCCATTGCACAGCGCAGTAAATAAAAAGGTATTAGGTAAGATGAAGGGTGAATGTGCTGGAACTCCTATTGCGGAGTGTGTTGCATTAAGACCTGCGATGTATTCTATAACGAAGTCTGATAATGAGGAGATAAGAAAAGCTAAAGGTGTTAAGAAGTATGTGGTAAAAAAGCATATCAAACACGAACATTATAAAGAAGCATTATTCAATGGTAGAACATTCAAACATGAGATGAATAATTTAAGACGTGACAGTCACAAGATGTATCATCAATATTCCCCTTCGGTACAAAGAGATGGATTGATAAGGATGGTGTAACTACCTATGCTTATGGTTACTTAGGAGGGTAATACTGTATCGTTGGGAACTATGAGCAACTTTTCTCTTACAAATCTCCTGCCCGGTCCATCTTTAAGATAAAAAAGAAAAGGCTCGCCTTCTTTCATAACAAATCGGTTAATGTTATATATCTTAAGAGAACATACCGGGTCGGTTGCATGACGTTGGCCTCCTTCGAGTCCACGGGCTGATACAAATATCTTACCCTTACTCTATCCAGAAGTGTTTGTTCTCTCCGTGGTGCTGAACATTCGGAAGTCACAGATTTCATTTTAATGGCATCGGATGGTTTCTTTCCAAATAATCTTGTTACTTTATTATTTAGCGCTGATACAGCAGCTGATAATCGTGTCACCCATTACCTTGATCTTAATCGATCTGATTTCATTTCAATCCCATATTGATACTCAAACAAACGTTCGGCTAATGTCCGGTTGAATCTTTCAACAATAGCTTGGCTAAGGTGGGCCTCTTTTTCAGCACGCCTGATTGCAACATCCTGCTTTGTTAATAGTTTAGTCACTGATCCGATAAACTCACGACCAGGATCTACTTGAAATAACTTAGACCATTTAAGTGGTCTGTGTTTATACATGCGGCCACGTGCATTAGCTACTTCAGTCGAATCTTTTGAGGTTAATGGTTCAGCCTCTTTGTACCGACTAGCTGCATCTACTGCGGTTAAAGCATATTTATGTGTTGCGTGTTACCTTGAGGGAGAAACAAGAGGTCAGCCTGATGAGCTACATTTGTTGTAAAAATATCAATCTTTTTCCTCAGTATATACCACGAGGCCGGTAAGTGTATTTGCCATATTGCTTGTTTCTTTAACCAATCCTTGGCAACATCTTTAGATACCTTAGCCACTGCGGCTAGTTTTTGTATTGCCTCTATACATTTCAAATATCTCACGGGCTATAGTAAATTTTATCCATTATTAATTAATATTGACGTTTCTTTAATACAATCATTTAGACAAATGTTTGTATAAGTGTATAACAATGGAAAACTACAAGCCAACAAAAGAATAAGTTGAAATAGCTATCGAAGCATTTATGCTTCTGGACAAAATTATTAAATTGAAAGAATAACCACAATGTGTATATCTTATCAAGGGTGATATGTCGAGTATCCTGGCCTAATATACTTTTGGATGAGTTAAGCAATAAATTATAACCTGAACAACGATTTCACATATGTTTATGAAGCATACAGTCACTTTTTACCCTAGAGCAGAACTGTAATCAAGTATGACATTTGACGTACATATATAAGCCACGCCTGGCTAATTTAATCCCGTCCAACAATTTCATTTGTCCTGTAGTAGAATTATATTAGTGACGCCTGATGTATTGTACAAAATAATCGATTTATTAGTCCGCACGTTCAAGCAATCATTTAACGAGTCGATCTGATAGCGAGACAGCATTGAAGCACTTGTCCAAAACACTGTATAGAAATGTATAAGTTTGAAGAAGTCGAGAAAAAATCACGGAAGTGATAAACGTCTAAGACCTGCAGCACTTGGGGCTTTCCTCCCACATTAAGCTGACACGCCGTGATATGACTGGAATATTGTTAAAAGCGGCGTTAACCCCAACTCACTCACTCACTCACTCACTCAACATCACCCGACATGTTGCTCACTAAACTGTGTTACATTTTCTCTTTAAGTTGAAATATTGTTGTCACCAAAATTTTGTGTACAGCTTTTCATTTGAATTTGACAACTTCCTAGTATAGATCCTTGAAGATTCGGGATAGAATAGGTCTTCAGCAACACATTCTTGGCGTAAAAGGCGATTATTGGGATCGGGTGGTCAGGCTCACTGGCTCAGTTGATGCATGTCATCGTATCCCAATTATGTGGATCGATGTTCATGATATCAATCACTGGAATGTTTTTAAGGTTACAGGTTTTTTCTTTTTTGGCCCTGGAAACATTTTCTTTGATACATCTGAACGAAATATTCCAATCACATTATGTTTCTCAAAATTTGAAAAATGTGTGATATATGAAAATTTGATATTTTAAAGCGTGATCTTTGTGTAAAGTAACTTTTACTGCTGCGAATTGCAGTTTAATACAATATATCATATTATATTCTTTGCGTCAGATTAAGAAATTCAATGCATTAGCCAGTGAATATAGTTTTACACTGCAGAAGAATGCTTGTGCTTGGTGGACAATATCATAAACATGAGTTGGTATCATTTCAGGTGTCTTGGCATTTGGCCCTCAAACAGAGCTTGTTGGAATAGAGCACGAGGAGAACTTTGGCAATGTATTGATTGTTCCTGACTCTGACACACTGAGGTCCATTCCCTGGGCACCAGAGAGGGTGAAGGTTGCTGAGATGCTGTGCGAGTCTCGGTGGAAGAAAGACAACTCTCCACAAGAAGCATGTCCTCGGTACGCAGCAAGGAAACAGCTGCAGAGGTTGGATAATCTTGGATTGAATTTTTATTCTGGCCATGAAATTGAGTTTCAACTCCTTGAAAATAATACCTTGGAGCCAGTTTTTGATTACAATTCAGACTTAAGCCAAAGGTTATTGAACAAGCACAGCACAGTTTTATTTCACTTCGACAAAAACTTTCAAGAATCTGATATTGATGTTGAAAGATACCATGTTGAGCTAGGGCCAGGTTTTTTTGAAGCTGTGACGAAACCAAAATATGGAATTGAGAGCGCCGATATGGCTTTTAATTTGCAGGAAGGTCTCCTGGAAATGGCGGATCAGAAAGGTCTTAGAGTAACCTTCATGTCTTATTTGTCCTCTAAAGATAAAACGGGTATTGCTACACATTTCAATTTTTCCCTCTGGAACAAATCTGGAGAAAACGTGTTTTATGAAGTGGGTGCTCCGGACAAACTCTCTGTAGTTGCTAAACAGTGGATTGCCGGTATCCTTAAGCACAGTAAAGCTCTCTCTGCTTTCACGAACCCAACGGTCAACTGCTACAGGAACTTTATCAATCCTTTTAAACCTGTGACTCCCAACTGGGGAATAGAAGATCGACAATCGTGTCTCCGCATCAAGAACGAAGGTCCATGGAAAACATACATCGAGAACAGACTTCCAAGAGGAAAGAGCAACATATATCTTGTGATGGCATCTACCATTGCTGCTGGATTGGATGGCGTTGAAAAGAAAATGGAGTGCCAAGTCCCGGGGAAACAAGACCATGCTGAATCGCTCCCCAGTTCCCTGGCTGAGGCTCTGGAAGAACTGGAACGGGATGAGGATTTGTGCAATGCCTTAGGAAAGGAACTGGTGACATTGTTCGTCAAGAGCAAGAGAGATGCGGAAATCGCCAAGTATGAAGGCATCGAGACTGATGAGGAAAGTTTTGCAATAGAGAAAGAAGACTACCTTTAAAAATAAAATTGTCATAATGCAACTACATTGTTGCTGTCTCAGGGGTGGAGGTTTTATCATTTCCTAAAACATTGTATGTTATGTAAGAAATATTAATTTGTGTAGTCATATCTTAGGAGATTTTGACAAGCAAAATTACGTTTTGGTGAACTGAAGCAATATTCACTCTTATACTCCTGATCAGCACATGTGTGTATTTAAAGTGTATTGTTTAAAGTGAAATGTCAGCTGCATATTGTTGAAGTTGCTTGACATTTAAACAGAGAAATATACGCTAAATAATGAGAGTCTATCCAATATATTTATCATCTGAATTCACTGATATAAGATTGATGCAAATAATGTAGGGAAACATTTCCTATTGTGACATAATGGAAAATTATGTCAATTGTTTGCAGAAATGGTCCTGTTTTCATTGTCAAATATTCACCTTTTACATCCACTAGGGTCCCGATCCAAAATTGAGTTTGCAGCCGTTCGACCTATCGTAACTCTATAGTTTTTAAAAGGATTAAGAAGTTCGAACATTTCGTGGATCGGGACTCTGTCACCTTTTGTTATATAGTTGCACATGTAACGGAACAAGTCGAAATAATAAGTGCTTTCTTATATCATAGCGCACTTTCGCTATTACTTCGACAGACATACATGTATGGACGTAATTTCCTCAGCTGGCTTGTAGCGCCTTTTCTTACGTAAGCTTTACCTTTTATTCCTACCTTTCAGGTTTTGTATACAGCAGTGCTCCACCGTCTTTATTTATTAAACGTGTTACTCCTTCTGAACTTCAGTACTTGTCTTGTCCTTTCATTCACTGTTTTTACCAGGAACCCTTATAGAGTTTGTGTCAGTATCCAACCACCTGGATTACAGAGTCATCAATAATTTCCACAACGCAAAGCCAGGCAAATTTGGTGGTTGATTAGATGGTACACTCCACTGTCACTGGGCATGGTTACACATGGTTCTAGTACACATAAATACAGTGCTTGTTTCTTTGTTTGTTTGTTTAACGCCGAACCCAATACATATATAGTCCGGAAATGTCCCAGTGTGTGCAGAAAGTGAGTTTTATGAACATTTTATAGAGTTTTGGACCTTCTTTACAGATCGAAATATGTACATTAGCTGTCTATTTTTCGACCCACACTTAAAATTAGTGCTCTTACAAGCAGGCGTCTTACAGTTAAACCATGGACCCACAAATAATGCTATGTCAGAATGAAAGGCAGCAATGATTCAACAAAAAAATCTTTTAAAGCAAAGAGTTTCTCCTGCGATCAAATCCCTGAAAAGTGAGATGCTGTGCATTGAAGGTGCCATTGCTAATCTGACAGAGACGAAGTGTAAATAAGGTAGAGTTGAATGTGGTGAGGCTAGATGTGGAGAAGTTAGCACAGAAGGACCTGGGAATACATTGGTCAACTTGAGAAAAGGATAGATCATTAGTAACAATGTGATAATATTTGGAATGCCTGAAAGTGACAGTTAGACAACGGAAGGTAAAAGCCAGGACACACAAGCAAAGACACAGTGAAAGACCCAGTACATGTCATACAGACACAAGAGTACCTATAACTTCTCGGAACAAGATATAATCCACAGCCAATCAAGAGGTCACAGCCATTAAGGCATTGTGATAGAGTGCCCAAAAAAGCTAAGACTTCATTGACATATAGGGGTACGGCCAGCACCTTAAGGATTTTACGACGCAACATCTTTTTTCGACGAGATGTCTGAAACACGCACAGCTATTCACAGATGTTCATAATTTAAAATCCACATAAATAAAATGTCCTTTTCGCACAAACACAGCTCAGATACTACATGGTCACAAATATTCTTAATTTTACATTTGCCATTTAGATAGGAGAGGGAACATCTTATATAGTGGTACCTGGTAATCTCTAGCTCTTTTATAGACATGCACTAAACTACGTGCATGACTATTAATCTGCTTATTCTGCACAAATTCAAAACCATTTTTCACAATGCAAATTAATGACGACTATGTGTTCTAACTGAATCACGGGCGCGCGAACTATTCCATGCTACTCATGCCTGCCATTGTGCACGATGCGGACTGAGGAGGACTTAATTACCACTGAAGCCCTATATAGGAGGAATCCAGGCGTTGATTCATCAGTTTCCATTTTGACAGAGGAGTGAAGATAGGTCTGGACACGGAGAAACCAGAAGGCTGTACCGTACGTCTCCATGAGAAGTACATGTACATTTGAACCTCTTGAACAAATCGAGGTGTTATCATTGGTGAAAACAAGCTTGTGAAGTTTATCTTCTGAGGTGAAGACAGATTACAAAAAAGCCACGACATAAGCTCACTTGTCATGAGCTGATATCGTTTAATAATGGTCAACTGGCCAGTTCCCTTCCTCTGGGATACCTCATATATATATAGATCAGCTGATATCGTTCAATAATGGTCAACTAGCCAGTTCCCTTCCTATGGGTTACCTCATATATATAGATGAGCTGATATCGTTCAATAATGGTCAACTAGCCAGTTCCCTTCCTCCTAGTTACCTCATATATATAGATGAGCTGATATCGTTCAATAATGGTCAACTAGCCAGTTCCCTTCCTCCTAGTTACCTCATATATATAGATGAGCTGATATCGTTCAATAATGGTCAACTAGCCAGTTCCCTTCCTCCTAGTTACCTCATATATATAGATGAGCTGATATCGTTCAATAATGGTTAACTAGCCAGTTCCCTTCATCTGGGTTACCTTATATATATAGATGAGCTGATATCGTTCAATAATGGTCAACTAGCCAGTTCCCTTCCTCTGGGTTGCCTCATATATATAGATGAGCTGATATCGTTCAATAATGGTCAACTAGCCAGTTCCCTTCTTCTGGGTTGCCTCATATATATAGATGAGCTGATATCGTTCAATAATGGTCAACTAGCCAGTTCCCTTCTTCTGGGTTGCCTCATATTTATAGATGAGCTGATATCGTTCAATAATGGTCAACGAGCGAGTTCTCTTTCTCTGGGCTACCTCATATACATATATGAGCTGATATCGTTCAATAATGGTCAACTAGCCAGTTCCCTTCCTCTTGGCTGCCTCATATATATAGATGAGCTGATATCGTTCAATAATGGTCAACTAGCCAGTTCCCTTCCTCTGGGTTGCCTCATATATATAGATGAGCTGATATCGTTCAATAATGGTCAACTAGCCAGTTCCCTTCTTCTGGGTTGCCTCATATATATAGATGAGCTGATATCGTTCAATAATGGTCAACTAGCCAGTCCCCTTCCTCCTAGTTACCTCATAAATATAGATGAGCTGATATCGTTCAATAATGGTCAACTAGCCAGTTCCCTTCCTATGGGTTACCTCATATATATAGATGAGCTGATATCGTTCAATAATGGTCAACTAGCCAGTTCCCTTCCTCCTAGTTATCTCATATATATATAGATGAGCTGATATCGTTCAATAATGTTCAACTAGCCAGTTCCCTTCCTATGGGTTACCTCATATATAAAGATGAGCTGATATCGTTCAATAATGGTCAACTAGCCAGTTCCCTTCCTCCTAGTTATCTCATATATATATAGATGAGCTGATATCGTTCAATAATGGTCAACTAGCCAGTTCCCTTCCTCCGAGTTACCTCATATATATATATCAGCTGATATCGTTCAATAATGGTCGACTAGCCAGTTCCCTTCCTCCGAGTTACCTCATATATATAGATGAGCTGATATCGTTCAATAATGGTCAGCTAGCCAGTTCCCTTCCTCCTAGTTACCTCATATATATAGATGAGCTGATATCGTTCAATAATGGTCAACTAGCCAGTTCCTTTCCTCCAAGGTTACCTCATGTATATAGATGAGCTGATATCGTTCAATAATGGTCATCTAGCCAGTTCCCTTCCTCTGGGTTGCCTCATATATATAGATGAGCTGATATCGTTCAATAATGGTCAACGAGCGAGTTCCCTTTCTCTGGGATACCTCATATATATATATAGATGAGCTGATATCGTTCAATAATGGACAACTAGCACGTTCCCTTCCTCTGGGTTGCCTCATATATATAGATGAGCTGATATCGTTCAATAATGGTCAACTAGCCAGTTCCCTTCCTCTTGGTAGCCTCATATATATAGATGAGCTGATATCGTTTAATAATGGTCAACTAGCGAGTTCCCTTTCTCTGGGATACCTCATATATATATATAGATGAGCTGATATCGTTCAATAATGGACAACTAGCACGTTCCCTTCCTCTGGGTTGCCTCATATATATAGATGAGCTGATATCGTTCAATAATGGTCAACTAGCCAGTTCCCTTCCTCTTGGTTACCTCATATATATAGATGAGCTGATATCGTTCAATAATGGTCAACTAGCCAGTTCCCTTTCTCTGGGCTACCTCATATATATCTAGATGAGCTGATATCGTTCTATAATGGTCAACTAGCCAGTTCCCTTCCTCTTGGCTGCCTCATATAAATAGATGAGCTGATATCGTTCAATAATGGTCAACTAGCGAGTTCCCTTTCTCTGGGCTACCTCATATATATAGATGAGCTGATATCGTTCAATAATGGTCAACTAGCCAGTTCCCTTCCTCTTGGCTGCCTCATATAAATAGATGAGCTGATATCGTTCAATAATGGTCAACTAGCGAGTTCCCTTTCTCTGGGCTACCTCATATATATAGATGAGCTGATATCGTTCAATAATGTTCAACTAGCCAGTTCCCTTCCTCCTAGTTATCTCATAATTATAGATGAGCTGATTTCGTTCAATAATGGTCAACTAGCCAGTTCCCTTCCTATGGGTTACCTCATATATATAGATGAGCTGATATCGTTCAATAATGGTCAACTAGCGAGTTCCCTTCCTCTGGGTTGCCTCATATATATAGATGAGCTGATATCGTTCAATAATGGTCAACTAGCCAGTTCCCTTCCTCTGGGTTGCCTCATATATATAGATGAGCTGATATCGTTCAATAATGGTCAACTAGCCAGTTCCCTTCTTCGGGGTTGCCTCATATATATAGATGAGCTGATATCGTTCAATAATGGTCAACTAGCCAGTTCCCTTCCTCTTGGTTGCCTCATATTTATAGATGAGCTGATATCGTTCAATAATGGTCAACGAGCGAGTTCTCTTTCTCTTGGCTACCTCATATATATAGATGGGCTGATATCGTTCAATAATGGTCAACTAGCCAGTTCCCTTCCTCTTGGCTGCCTCATATATATAGATGAGCTGATATCGTTAAATAATGGTCAACTAGCCATTTCCCTTCCTCTTGGTAGCCTCATATATATAGATGAGCTGATATCGTTCACTAATGGTCAACTAGCCAGTTCCCTTCCTCTTGGTTACCTCATATATATAGATGAGCTGATATCGTTCAATAATGGTCAACTAGCCAGTTCCCTTCCTCTTGGTAGCCTCATATATATAGATGAGCTGATATCGTTCAATAATGGTCAACTAGCCAGTTCCCTTCCTATGGGTTACCTCATATATATAGATGAGCTGATATCGTTCAATAATGGTCAACTAGCCAGTTCCCTTCCTCCTAGTTACCTCATATATATAGATGAGCTGATATCGTTCAATAATGGTTAACTAGCCAGTTCCCTTCTTTTGGGTTACCTTATATATATAGATGAGCTGATATCGTTCAATAATGGTCAACTAGCCAGTTCCCTTCCTCTTGGTAGCCTCATATATATAGATGAGCTGATATCGTTCAATAATGGTCAACTA